CTGAGGATCGAACCCAGGCCGCAAGCATGCCAGGCGAGCGCGCTACCGCTTGAGCCACATCCCCAGCCCCTCTCCCTCTCTCTTAAAAAAAAAAAAAAAAAAAAAAAAAACAAGGCCTGAGGATGTAGCTTGGTGGTGGGATGCAACTGGATTAAAACCCTAGCACAGCAATAAGAATAACAAAAGAGGAGGAGGAGGAGGGGGAGGGGGAAGGGAGGGGAGGGGGAAGGGAGGGAAAGGGAGGGGAGGGGGGGAAAGCTGGGACAGGGCCTGTGGGTCCAGCAGAGGCAAGGGCCAGAGCAGCCTGGGAGAGGGCCCGGCAGGGGCCAAACCCCCTACCTGTCAGGGTCCATGGGCATGTGTACCAGGTATGCCAAGTAGTGAGGAAGTGCCTGGGGATGGGCCTCTAGGAACCAATCCTTGTTTATTATAGATGTTTTTTGGTTAAAAGAAGAGACTTAACCAACAGCTTCAACACAATGGGCAGAGAGGGAGTGACTGAGGTCAGGTGTGGTACAGGTGGCTTTTCCTACTGTGCTGGTTGTGGCTGCTCAGTTGCTCACCTTGGTAGTGAACCACTTCTCAGACCAGATGCTCCTGAATGGAGCAGTGTAAGCTGACAAGATTAACAACATCTAGGTGGCACAGGAGCCCAAAGGAAAGTGACTGAGACAGCAAGGGCAGGGACCAAGGCTGTGTTGTGTGGTTGATGTGAACTGCCCACAATGTGCACAGTGGTAGTAAAGTCATATTAGTGGGGAACAGGAATCGGGACAGCGACTCACAGTAAATGGGTCAAGGGAGCCCACCAGAAGGATGGAAATGGAGGGTGGTGAGGTTACACCACATGGTAAATCTTACCAAGGATGATTGGATTGTTCACTTGAACTGAAACAGCTGTCTGGAGGCAGCATGTGAAGGCTTCAGGCCACATCCTATGGGCAGGGAATTCCTAGCCCCAGGGCATCCAGTGAAGGTCTTTCCTGAGTTGCTCTTTTACATATGAAAGCTCTTTAAACCTTTTCTAACTTTCAGACATTCTTTGCCTCCACCCCTCTCAGTAGACTCTTAATCTCTGGATGCCTTTACTTTTCTGGTAAATGCTAAAGGCACCAAGCCTAGTCCCACCCATTGCTTCTACCACCTCCACAGAACTCTCCTGGGACTCCAAACTCCGTTATTAGGAGGCCCGTAGGGAGTGTCAACTCAAGTCTTGAGGTTTCCATTTTTTTTTTTTTTTTTTTTTTTTTTAAATATTTATTTCTTTTAGTTATTGGCGGACACAACATCTTTGTTTGTATGTGGTGCTGAGGATCGAACCTGGGCCGCACGCATGCCAGGCGAGCTTGCTACCACTTGAGCCACATCCCCAGCCCCGAGGTTTCCATTTTTTCCTCTGTGGCTCAACCCTCCTCTGCTGCTACTTGCCTTGCCAGAGACCCCTCTCAGAATCTACCCCATCTGCCTCATATGGGGAGGAGTTTCCATGGAGCATGATCAGCATGCTCCATGGATCCTGAATCCTGGGACCTGCCTCCCACATCTGGCACAGACCAGACTCACAGAATGGGACTTGGGTATTAGTTTTTTCTTCTAGACAGTAATAGCCAGAGAGGGTGACCCTGGATGATGAGCTCCCCTGGTAGTGATGCAGGATGGAGAGAGGCTGTGAACCGACACAGCTAAGGGGCCCTGGAAGATGCCTTGGTGGATGCCTTTGTCCACTGATCCATGCCTCAGTCAGTGTGTAAGGGTAAAAGAAATTGAAGTTAAAGCATAAAAATTAAAGGGTAAAAGACCGGGTATATAAAGTTTCTAAGCTGCAAAGTCTGAGTTAAAATATAAAGGATTAGGTATTGTTAGGTTTCTATGCTACCTGCAAAACCTGAAATTCCTGTAGTTGTTAAGACAATGATTGGAACCTCCCAGTAAATATTCCCCCTGACTGCTTGGTTGTTTAATAATTCAGGGCTCTGTGTGATCTCCCAAGTAGGCCTTGCAGGGCCTAAACCAATCAGTTTAAATGTGTACCCCCGTTTAGAACTGACCTATCACTCCCGCCTGACCTGTTCCCGCCAATGAATGAACTAATCATGTTTAGGAGTTGTTGCTTGATTTTCCCGTGGTGTATGATGATTTGTTAAAGGAGACTGTGATGTATGTAAAGTCCCACCCTCCCAAAAAAGTGTACTTAAGCAGTGCTCAGCCCCTGCTCGGGGCTCTGGGCTGTTCTCCCTTCTTGAGTGGGCACGGAGCCCTAGCATGCTAGATCAATAAATCCCCTTCTGCCAATTGCATGAGTGGTCACTTGGTGGTCTCTTTCTCCGACGCTTCGCCGGACCCTTACAAGTGATAGACCCAACTGATCTTTTCTTTTTTTTTTTTTTTTAAAGAGAGAGAGAGAGAGATAATTTGTTTTTAATATTTATTTTTTAGTTTTCGGCGGACACAACATCTTTGTTTGTATGTGGTGCTGAAGATCGAACCCGGGCCACACGCCTGCCAGGCGAGCGTGCTACCGCTTGAGCCACATCCCCATCCCCAACCTGATCTTTTCTTAAAAATTGGGAGCCATCTCGCCATAAAGCCATGAAAAGATAATTTCGGCTTTACTATAAATTACTACAAATTCTGAACCTGCTTGGAATGCCTGCCCTGGCCTTGAACTCACCCCTGCCTGGCTCTCTGACCAGATAGCAGCAGATAGATCTCTTCTGATGACAGAGAGGTGGCCTGGCGAGGCTCACATATACTCCTGTCCGGGACAGTAACGAGAATCCTTCTGTCCTCTGTTCTGTTCTGTAGGGAATTCCCCTGGAAGGGTAGAGAGGTGCCGACGGGCACGCACGCGCTCCTACCCCGGGAGCTTTCGCAAGACAAGACGTTGCATTGCTCCTCTGTTTTTCTGTTTCGGCGCCGGGTTTCTGTTTTCTTGTGTTTTGTTCTGTGTTCTATATGTTTTTTGTTTGTTTGTTTTTGTGCCTTTTGTTGTGTGATTTCTGTGGTAAAAACTTAAGGATATTGGACGTGAAAATGGGTAATAAAGCAAGTAAGCCTGACACCCCTTTGGACTGTGTTTTAAGGAACTGCAATGAACTTTACCCCCCTTTGTTAAGCAGGTGAGAGAAGCCCCTAGCTGGCTGCTGGAGCACACCCACTGCAGAGGGCAATGCCTGCTGGGGATATGAGAACTGAGTATCTCCCAGGTTAACAAGTGAGACTCCTTTAAAACCCCTTGTCCCTCCAGATCAAGAGAGTCGCAAGCTTTGGGCAGAGTCCCCTGTGTTTCTCCTTTGTTAGCAAAGCAATAAACCTCCCTTTTTCTTTTTCTCAAAACCCTGTCCTCATTATTAAATTGGCATTAATTGGCTTCAAGGTCAGGAACTGAACTTTCAGTTACAAATTTTGATACCAACCCCCCCCCCCCCGAACTTTTTGAGAGCTGACTACTGAAATGTTAGGAGATGGAAAGTGCCAAACCAGAGGAGCTAATCCTGTAAGTAAAAGGAGGGACTGAGGGACTCCCAGCAGCTGCCCAAGCCCTGTTGCTTCAGGGAATTCCCTCCTTCCTTCCCTGCACTGTAAGGATTATGCCACCTCTGTCTTCTTAAAAAAAAAGAGAAAGAGAAAAAGGGGACACTAAATGCAGTAAAGTCGCCACCGAGACCCTTGATTTTACATTTCAGGTTGCCCCTCTGTGAAAACATCTGGTCCCCTTTTGGGGACATCTATGGTGCCACTGGTGTAGGAGATTTTTCTCTTATCTTCTCTGTTTTAAAGGTTTCTGTCTGTCATCCATAGTCTGGAGCTCCTTTCTGTCTGTCTGTCTTGTGTCTTTGTTTCTGGCCCTTTAAGACATGGGCAATAGCAGTGTTGATATTATAGATTGTTTCTTGGGAATGATCTTGGCTGAATGTGTGTCTAAAAGATGATGTTTCATTGTAACAATCTGGTATCTGAATGGGTTTTGAAGCATTGCACAATCTTGCAGTTAAAAGTTGGGTTTAGGTAATTGTTTAGTTTATGATTTCAGATAATTCATGCCAGAGAACTTAAATACTTAGGATGGAAAACTAAAGAACTCTACTTCCAAGTTGGCAAGTAACTTCCCAATCATTCAGGTTTTTGTTTTTTTTTCACCAGTTTTGAATTGGGTAGCCTGGGAAGATGTCACTGTGGGTACCAGTGCATTAATTTGGACAAGGATAGTAAATCATAGTATGGGATCTGTTGACAAAACAAGATGTAAAGATATAGAATTTTGTGAATTGTATCTTAAATTTGTATCATAATTTTCAACATCTGAACCTGAATATTATGACTTAAGGTTAAAATGCCTTAGGCCTGAGGTGTCTGCTCAGAACAGCAGCTTTTCCCGGCTCCTTCAGACCTCAGCCAGGACTTAGGTTGAAATGCAAATGAAAGAAGCCTGCAAGCTCAGTAGGAGACTCATCTGAGGCCTAAGGGGAAAAAAAAAAAAAGTAAATTGTGTGGTATTTACTAATTACTGGCCAGTCATTTTTTCTAGGACTCTTGTTTTTTTTCCTTAGATTCTGTATTTTTTTGAGCTCATGATTTTGATCCTACAGACCTAGGTTAATGTTTTTCTGATCAGTTCTATCTTTGACCAACTGTGGAGTTTCTGAAACATTGCAATGGAGATTTCACCTGCAAAAAGCTACAAGGCCTTTAATATTGTTATGTGTGCACACTTGTGTTATGTGTTGTATGTCTATATGTACATATGTCCGTATATCATATATATGATATACAAATTAACATATATAAGGAGCGCTCATAAAAACAAATTTAAAAAGTGGATCCAAAGATCTTTAATTCATGCGATTTAAATGGTTCAATTTAAATTGGATAAACAGATAAAAATTAATGTCTTTAAATTTAAGCTTACAAGTTTTCTTTTCTTTTTAAGAGAGAGAGAGGGGGAGAGAATTTTTTAATATTTATTTTTTAGTTTTCAGCAGACACAACATCTTTGTTTGTATGTGGTGCTGAGGATCGAATCCGGGCCACACGCATGCCAGGCGAGCGTGCTAACGCTTGAGCCACATCCCCAGCCCCGCTTACAAGTTTTTCTAGGTGTTCAAAAAAACTAATAAAATATTAATGTCTATAAAATGTCTAATATGTCTTGGTTCTAGGACTTTTCTTTCAACAAGAAAAAATGGTTAACACTGTTCAATACATTTGTCTGATATTTTGATAAATAAGTAAAGTAAATTTGATATGGGATTACTCATTCATGAGTACTTTTGTTAGATATCTGATTTATTTACTATATAAGTTTGTATAAGTTTGTTTTTACAATCGGTCATGTGTTAAAAAGACAAAATTTTCTTAAAACATAAGTTTACCCATAACATTGTGTTTATTAAGTTTTATTTTTTTCTAGAGCAAGCAACCATAAAAATTAAGCAACTGGTTAAATAAGAACTGTTATTTTAGAGCATTGTACTGCCATTTCTTTAAAAGCTAAACTTGGTTAATATAGAAACATCAATGTAATTGTGATGCTATTAATGTGCTCATATCTTCCAGGTATACAAGTCTATAAGGTAGAAGCTTTAAAGAGCATTATATCAAGCTGGTGTTCTAAAGTTGTTTGGTAAAAAAAATATATTGGGAATTTATTTACCTGTTATCAATAAGATATGTAAAGTGTTATGTTACTTTTTACATTGGGGAACAATTTAAATGTATTTTTAAGTTAATGAGAGCCTAATCTATGTAAAGGTTAAAAACTTTCAGCCTTTCTTTAATTCATGTTTTAAATGTGATATCATATGGTGTTAGCTAATGTTCATGTGACCTCAAACAATTTATGTAAACTTTGTAAAATGATATTTAAAAAGCAAAGATCAGCTTTAGAACTAGAACACTTAAGATTTATAAAGAGCCCTGCCTTACCTGAGACAATGTAAGAGTAAAAGAAATTGAAATTAAAGTGTAAAAGACCGGGTATCGTAAAGTTTCTAAGCTGCAAAGCCTGAGTTAAAATGTAAAGGACCAGGTATTGTTAAGTTCCTATGCTACACCCCCAAAACCTGAAATTCCTGGAGCTGTTAAAACAATTCCTGGGACTGTCCAGTAGATAAATAACCTAGGACCCTGTGCAGTTTGGCACGTAGGCATTCAGGGCCCAAACCAATCAGTTTGAATGTACCCCCCCTTCCCGCCCGACCTGTTCCTGCCAATGAATGTGCTAATCAAGTTTGAGAGTTGTTGTTTGATTTTCCTGCGCCTCATGATGATTTGCTCTGATGTATGCAGAGCCCCCGCCCTCCCCAAAAAGTGTACTTAAGCACTGTTCAACCCCTGCTCTGGGCTCTGGGCCGCTCTCCCTTGTTGAGTGAGCTTGGAGCCCCAGCACGCTGGATTGGATCCTCAATAAATCCCCTTTTGCTGTTGCATGAGCCGGTCTCTTGGTGGTCTCTTCCTCCGACGTCTGCCGGACCCTTACAACAAGGCTCTGTGTCCCATCTTACTACATGTGAGAATGACTACAAAAGCAGTAGGCCAGATTTTAGTTCATTTAAAGTTATGTTCAAAAGTTGTTTTTTTGTTTTTTTCTGTCAAGATTACTAGGATCTCAAACAGGGGATATAATGTATAACTCAGCCAAAATTCAGGGTAGCTATTACATGAACTAAATGTTTTTACTCTTGTTAATTTTATTTTGTAATTTCCTTATAAATGGTCTAAAGATTCCCTGTTAGTGTTTTACAGAAGTGTTGCTTTAAGAACACAACATGGGTTAATTTAAGATAATAAGCCATCACCTACAAGACAGATATGATAATACAGATCCCAATTAATAAAAAAGATAAATAATTGTAAAGTTATAGACATTAAAGCCCAGTACTCTTAATATAAGGCTGTTAAAATTTATTTGCTGGATGTTTAAGATTAAGTTTTAAAATTAAAGTTAAATTAAAAGGGCCAAAAAAAAACAATATTTGGCTCTTGCCCTCTGAGTCAGTCTGAATCCAGGGAACAGGGGACTTCTCTAAAGAGCTTTGCAACTCTGGGCCACATAACCTCCTGAACAGGGAGATTAATGAGACCAGTGGAGGACAGAAAGCCAATCAGTGCATTTGCTGTGAAGAGGAGGGTCATCAGAGAAGGGAGACATCCCTGATGCTTCTGAGGGAAGCCACATGGTCCAGCAAGACCTGGACCCATACTAGCGCAAATAGCACTAGCAGAACTGACAAGCTGCTCTCAAGTTTCCCCAGGACTCCCAGGGAAACTCCGCTGACTGTTAACAATAGATAGAAACAAAAGTCAGTTTGACTGCTTCATCTTAAACACCTAGCAAAGACATTAAAACCAAAACACAGGGGCTGGGGATGTGGCTCAAGCGGTAGCGCGCTCGCCTGGCATGCGTGTGGCCCGGGTTCGATCCTCAGCACCACATACAAACAAAGATGTTGTGTCTGCCGAAAACTAAAAAATGAATATTAAAAAATTCTCTCTCACTCTCTCTCTTTCTCTCTGTCTCTCACTCTCTCTTTAAAAAAAAACACAGCCATTCCTGGGCATTTTAAATAATAATGATGACAATAATAATAATGATAATAATATTTTAAGGTATACACTTTATGTTAACCTCCCAAAATAAGTAAGACTGGAGGCTGAAAAGAAGGATTCTCAGACAGAAATGCCTGATAACTATAAAAAGAGACTATCAAGAGGAGCTGCCAGAGACAGAAGTTTTTAGTTTAAGGCCCACAGATATTCCTAACCTACACAGGTAGGCTTGGTGTTTGCTAGTTTGATTATCCAGCCCTGAGTAACAGAATTAAAGGTTTCTCTATTAGACACAGAGGTCACACTAGTAAAAGGATTTTGCAAGATCAGATGACATTAAATTATTAAACTGTACCTTATGGGGAGGGACAACTGTAACCCTAAAAGTTAAATGTTGTACTTACAGTCCTGATAACTGGGGATGTTAAGGCCTGGTGAGGGAACTTCTGCACAGTGACATGTTCCAGCTGCTGCGACATTTATGCAGTACTCATGGTTTTTGTTTCTCTCATAGAAGCACCCATCCCCAGATGACTTTACAACCTGTTCTTCCCCAACCAGACTTCAAACCAAACTGACTTCTAAAAGGGAGCTCATGTCCCTCACGCCATGCCCCCTCACGTCACCCCCTCTCAGCTCAGAAGAAGCCAAAACGAGCAACGCCCCTCTTCTTACAACAATGGAGCCAAAAATAGACTGTCAATATAAGTAATTAATTAAGTCAGATCAAATCAGGGAGACAGGTTTTGGGTGAGTTCTAAAAAGTTGGAGACTGTTGCCTGAGGGATTAAAATTCCCTCAGTGCTCTTCTCCTACCCTATCAAATATTTGAAAGGGACACATAAGAAAAGGGGGGAATGATAGACCCAACCTGATCTTTTCTTAAAAATGGGAGCCATCTCGCCACAAAGCCATGAAAAGCTAATTTCGGCTTTGCTGTAAATTACTGCAAATTCTGAACCTGCTTGGAATGCCTGCCCGGGCCTTGAACTCACCCCTGCCTGGCTCTCTGACCAGATAGCAGCCCTCTCTGAAACTTAGAGACACCTCATAAATATTGGCTTTCCCTGGCCAGACAACGACCCTCTCTGAGGCTCTAATGGTCCTCATAAATTCTGATGTTGGGGCCAGCAAAAATGTAAACTACCATTCGTGTGATGCTTGTCAGAGTTCTGTTATCTGTAACCCCCCTTTGTGTAACTTTCTGGGCTATAAAGCTGGGCTGCAGGAAAACTGCTGTTGCTGTCTTGATTCCCACAGTTTTGGGTGGGAGAGGCAGCCCGGCCGGTCAAAATAATGAGCTTGCTTTAATTTGATTTTAATTGGAGTCACTGGTCTTTTCTTGCGTCCTGGTCTAACAGCAGCTCAGGGAGCCCAGTCACGCTGGAGCTCAATTTCTTCTACTCCTTTCAGATCTGTTTGGTACCTACTTCTCCCATCTTGGGCCTGGCCTCAGATTTTCAATATATACAGGCCACGTAGCTCTTCCCTGGTTCCTTAAACTGGTGTCCTCTACTGCAGTCATTCATTCCTCAGAACACTCACATGAGCTGGGCTCAGTGGCACATGTCTGTAATCCTAGGGAGACTGAGGCAGGAGGATCACAAGTTTGAGGCCAGCCTCAGCAAATTAGTGAGACTCTGTCTCATAAAAATAAAAAAAGGACTGGGGATATGGCTTAGTGGTTGAGCATCCCAATTCAATTTCCAGTATCTAGTGCAAAGCAAGAAAGTACAACCACTACAATAAGGTCTTGGGAAAAAGAAGCAAAATAAATATTTGCTTCAGGCTTGTGACGCTGGAGGCCACAGTTCTTGGGTGCCCTTGACTGCCTGAGAGTGGTCAGTGTTTGGTTCTTCCCACCCAGACCCCTCCTGACCTCCTGGTCCAGGTCCTCCATCTTCACGTCTTTCTCAATCACCAGACCTCTTCCTTCAGGGCTGAGAACTTCGCTGAAGCTACTTGGATTTTCCCCTTACCTTGAGTCTATTGGGCAGACCTTCTGAGTTTGCCGCCTAGGTAGGTCCTTTGTCTTCCCTGTAGTCCCCTTTTACATGCCAGTGGGACATGCCTCTCTCCACAGTACCATTCTGCAACTCAGCCCATAGTTCCTGGACCTGCCTTGCCCAAGGGAGAACCACCCTCTTTCCACCACCCTTGCAGTTGCCCTTCCCAAACTCAGCTGGGCCTCCTCCAGTCATGCCTCTCACTTTTACCCCAAGGCCCAGTGCTTGTAGGATGGAGTAGTGACAGCTCCTCTGTGAGGTGCCTGATGACTGTTGGAAAGGCAGAAATGAAGCATTTGATAAGAGGGAGGTGAAGGGTTTGTGTTCATCAAACAGGAGAACAAACAGATTCTTCCTGTGTGGAGGCCCTGGGTCTCCCGAGGGTACTTCTTTTCTACTGCTACTGTAACACAATACCACAAACTCAGTGGCTTAAACCATTGTCTTTTTCAGTTCACCATTCCGCAGGTTGTCTGCTCTGGGTCTCACAAGCTGCAACTGAGGTGTTGGCCAGGGGAGCTCTTACTTGGAGGCTCTGGGGAAGAATCTACTTACTCCAGCTCATTCAGATGGTTGGCAGAATCCAGTTCCATGCTGCTGCAGGACTGAGGGCTTTGTTTTCCTGCTGGCTGTTGTCCAGGGCTCTTCTCAGACTTCCAGTCTTGCGTTCCGTCATCTGGCACTCTTTACCTTCAAAGGCTCTTTCTCTTTTGACTTTCAGAACCCCGGAAAGTACCTGGGAACTACCTAAATAATTAAGGTTCATCCTCTATTTTAAGATCAGCTGATTAATAACCTTAATTACAACTACACAGCCCCTCTCACCATGCAGTGTAATTACTCAGATAATATGATCACTTTTACAGTTTCTGGGTACAAAATCGTGGAGAATCTTGCAGGGTCAAGCTAAGTGAAAGCCAGGGCAGGGTGAAGCATCTGCCTGTTCCTGTGTTAGAGCAGCAGGCACCAAGTTGAAAGACACAGAGGATCTCTTACCCTGGCAAACCTCCTGGACAAAAGATGCGGGTTGGTTTGAAGTCAGGGAGGACGCTGAGGACATCTAAGCTGTGTGAAAGGGTGCTACAGATGGAGAGAATGACTTGAGCCAACCTCCAGGTGGGCTCCAGCCAGGGACCTGAGGATGAAGAGTAATGACCTGAGATGAGAGGGGTTGTCAAAGTAATAGGAACAGATCCAGTGTGTGTGTGTGTAGGGGGGGGGGGCCCACATTGGAGGGTTCAGAGTCTGAACAATGAGACCAGGACTAGACCCGTTGTTGTTTCTGGGGTTTGCATGCATGCCGTGCAAGTGTGGAGAGCGTGGTACCACTGCGTGACATCCCCAAGCTTTTTACTTTTATTTTGAGCTCGGGTTTCACTAAATTACCCAACTGGCTTCGAACTTGCAATCCCACGTGGCTGGGGTTACAGGCCTGCACAACAGAGCCAGGCCTCACCTTCAATTTTCCTGTGCCCTTTTCAGCCAGGCAGAATGCGAGCTGAGTGACAGTTCTGGCCCCGCCCCCACCCGTCACCAGGGCGACGCCGGAAGCGTGCCCGGGTCCTAGATCCCTCGCGTCGCTGCCGCCCCGGCTTCGGCGATGTTTTGTGTGTTTGTTTCCAACTCTGACGAGAGCCGGAAGTGCGGCCTGGCGGCGGCGGCAAAGAGCCACAAGAACTCAGGAAACGTGCTGCGACCTAGCGCTCCGCCTGCCCTGCCACGGCCCGGGGTTCCGCCGGCGTTCTGGCCCGGAAGTGCGGCCTGGGAGTTGGTGAGCAGGAGGCGGCCACTGCCGGGCCCGGAGTCGGAGGTGGGGTCGGGCGGGCATCCCCCTGCCGCAGGGTCGGCGGGGAGGCCGGGACGTGCTAGGGGAGGGGCACCTGGGCTGGGCTCGGAGCGCACGCTGCGAACGCGAGGGGGCGCTGCAGGATCGGAGCTCCACGCAGGCCAGGGTGCAGCGGGGGAACCCGGGGTGGCGGGGCTGCAGCGCGGGCGGTCGCAGCGGGTCAGAGGCGGCTCCGCGCGCGGGGCAGGGCGCCAGCCGTGGTGCCCAGGGCGGGTCGCGGCTCTTGGAGGACAGCGCGTGGGCGAAGACTGGGCTACGAGTGTGCGACGCCCGTCCCAGGAGGGTGGGCCTTTGTTGGGAGGAATCCGGGACCGCCCCGCGGCCTCTGGGCTGTGGAATCAGAGCCCTCAGGGAGCAGGGCGGGGCGGGGCGGAAGAAGAAAGGGTTCAGGCCTCGCGGGTTGCAGCACACATTTGTGCCCCGCCCTCCTTTCCTGCACCGTGAAGAAGGGTGCGGCTGGCGGAGACCAGCCTTTGTAGACGCAAAGGCTTGGCTTCTTTGAGGAGGGTTCTGAGATCAGAAGGGTCCTGGTCTGTTAGGTCCGTACAGGCCCCCTCTGGCTGATGTGTTGGGGAATAAACCTGGAGGTGGCCGATGTGGAGGGAACCAGCAATGTTACTTCATCGGTAACTGGTGCATAGTGGCTTGGGGGTCTTGCTGGAAGATGATTTTTGCAAATGGGGAGGGAAGAGTTGAGACTGAGACCCCCAACAGATCTTTAGGGTATAGGGGCAGGATTAAGTAGGGCTCCACTCCGGGGTTGTGACCCTGGAGAGACAAGTTGGTGGAGAGTTGTCTCAGGGTTTGTCGATTCTCCTTCTTAGACCAGAAATCTGTACGTTCTGGGTGTAAGATGACCCGAGTAAACTACCCTATTCCATAGACAGAAAAACAGGCCCAGTGCCCTCTGGTCACCTGCTTGATGGGTGAAGTAGCAATTTCTCAGAATCCCCTGGAGGTACCCCCCCTTCTGGTGACTGAGGCTGGGCAGTGCCTGGATCATAGGGTCACAGTTCACAAGAAGCATGAGGATTGCTCAGCCATGCTCCTTACATGGCTTCACACCGGCTGTGGCCTGCTGGTGCTTCACCCTTACCCATCCAGTCACATGGTCCATAGATAACGCCTCTCTATGCCACACACCCTGGGGCACCTGTCCAGCTGTTGACCAGCTTTCTACCTTCACTCTTATGTGACCAGGCATACTCCAAATGGATCTGACCAGGAAGCAGATGTGCCACCTGTGAAGACCTGCATATTCCAGTTAATGTAACCCCATTCTGGTGCAGCATTCCTGGGTCAGCACAGGAAATCAGCTGCAGTAAGATTGAGAAGTACAAAGGGAAGACCAAAAAAAGAAAAACAGGCAGAGTGGAGGCCACAACTAGCTGAATGAACACTGGCTAGTGTTTCTGTATGAAGATCTGCTAAGTGAGGCAGGGCAGCTGGTCCTAAATGGGGGTTCCTAGCTCCTCTACACAGAGCTACACATTCAGAGGGAGAGTGGAGGCTACTTAAGGATGGATGGAGATATATAGCTATAACTGGGGGGTTGAACCCAGGGGCACTTAACCACTGACCCACATCCCCAGCCCTTTTCATATTTTATGTAGTTATGGGGTCTCCTTGAGTTCTTAGGGCCTTGCTAAGTTGCCGAGGCGGCTTTGAATTTGAGGTCTTCCTACCTCAGCCTCCCCAGTGGCTGGGATTACAGGTATGCACCACCGCACCTGGCTACTTAAGGATATTTTAATTGGGGTGGAGTGGGCCAAGAAGAGGAGGAGGTAAGCCCTGCACCTTCAGGGATGGGGGAACACCTGGGAACTGATATGCCTAACCCTTTTCCAGAGGGATGTTGGGGGCTGTGGAGGCAGAGGGCATTGCAGAAGAAGACTTGAGGTGGCTGAGTCCTGTGTGTTGTGAACCAGGACTGTGAGGGGCTGCTGGGGAGATATGGGGTGGGCAAGGTCTAGAGTGCAGTGCACCCTTGGCCCTGCCCTGCTACAAATTAAGGGCTGAGGAGACCTGAACACTGGGAGAGGAGAGTCCTGGGCTGACCTCCTCTCCCGGTTCTGTTGTCCTATGTAGATGGCGGCTGCGGAGGCAGTGCACCACATCCACCTGCAGAACTTTTCTCGATCACTGCTTGAGACCCTCAATGGACAGAGGCTTGGTGGGCACTTCTGTGATGTAACTGTGCGCATCCGTGAGGCTTCCTTGCGAGCACACCGCTGCGTGCTGGCTGCAGGCTCCCCCTTCTTTCAGGACAAGCTGCTGCTTGGCCACTCGGAGATCCGCGTACCACCAGTGGTGCCTGCACAGACTGTGCGCCAGCTGGTTGAGTTCCTCTATAGCGGCTCCCTTGTGGTGGCACAGGGTGAGGCTCTGCAGGTGCTCACAGCTGCATCCGTGCTTCGCATCCAGACAGTAATAGATGAGTGCACACAGATTATCGCACGTGCTCGTGCCCCAGGAACCCCTGCACCAGCCCCCCTGCCAGCACCGGTGCCCCCACCGCTGGCACCTGCACAGCTGCGCCACCGCCTGCGTCACTTGTTGGCTGCACGACCCCTTGGGCACCCTGGTGTAGCACATAGCCGCAAGCAGCGCCAGCCTGCACGTCTTCAGCTGCCTGCACTCCCAGCCAAGATAGAGGGTCCGGATGCAGACCCAGTACTTCCAGTCCCTGAGGATAGAGGTGAGGATGAGGAGGACACCGATGGCGAAACCGACGGCGAGGATGGTGAAGGTGGTGGCCCAGGTGAGGGCCAGGCGCCCCCTTCTTTCCCTGACTGTGCAACTGGCTTCCTCACTGCTGCTGCGGACAGCGCTCGAGAGGACCCACCTGCATCTGCTGGCCTCACTGACTATGGCAGTGCAGGCAGAGATTTCCTTCGCGGGGCTGTGGTGGCCGAGGACGTGTTTCCAGAAAGCTATGTATCTGCTTGGCACGAGGAGGGCGGCACTGCCACAGAAGGCTGTCCTGCTGAGACCCCTGCCCCACCGGACTGCTCCCTGGCAGGACCCCGTGTGCCTGGCGTGAAAACCTCAGGAATGCCTGTAGCACTTTTCCCCTTTCACCTGGGCACGCCGGGGCCACCCCAGCCAACCCCTCCCACACCATCAGGGCCAGCTCCTGCACCCACATCCACATCCACCTTCTACCCTGCACTCCAGCCTGAGGCCGCCCCCAGCACTCAGCTTGGGGAAGCCCTGGCCCCGCCTGTGGTGCCTGCCAGTGCCCCTTCAGGTACCCCTGTACGTGTTCCCGGAGCAGAGCAGCCTGCCTACGAGTGTAGTCACTGCCGTAAGACGTTCAGCTCTCGGAAAAACTACACCAAGCACATGTTCATCCATTCTGGTGAGCCCAGGGGATCCGGGAGGACCACCTTTCTCAGCCCCTTGGTCATTGGAGATTCAAGCCCTAGGGGCAGTTGGGCACTGATGTGGTTTTGTTGCTTTTGGTTACCCCAGGGGGGCTGGAAATTGAACCCTCCAAATATGAGGCATGTGGGGGGGAGTCTCATGTGAGTAATAGGTACTCTTGCCTGTGTCTTCCCCTCCTGTTTTGGGGGATGAGGAATCCTGAGCCTGGATAGGGTGCACACCTGTAAATCCAGGCCTTTGAAAAGTTTGTGGTGGAGCCTGGAGGGGGGCAGGAGAGATGGAGCAGGGATTGGGGTATGGGGGTAGAGCTCCAGGTAGTCTCCTACATCTCTCCAGCTGTTCACTAGGTGGTTGGGGCTTGAGGTACAGTCAGGTGTGTTCCCTGACCTAGGAAGAGTGGGGGAAGCTGGCAGAGGGGCAGCTGAATGAAGGCTGAGGAGTAGCCCTTTGGGCTAGAGGAGTTTTAGGAGAAGACATGGCCACAGTATGTGAACCGCACAGGCCCCTAGAGGGGAACCAGGCCTCAAAGACCATGGGGAACTTCCTTCTCATCTTGGCCAGGGAGCAGTAGAGCAGGAAGGTGGCTGGGATGGTGGCGGGTAGGTCCTGGGTAAGGTTGTTTCTAGGGGACTGGGTTGGGACAGGAGGATGGAAAGCAGAAGCTGGCCAGCCGGCAGAGCTGACCATTGGCGGGAAAACCAAAACCATTACAGTGGGAGTGAGGCCGGAGGCTCTTCAGGGGCCAGAACTTGGGATTTGACTCTGAGGCGTGGGAAAGCGTCGGTGTTGTCTCAGTTGGGGAGTGACCGAGATGTCACAGCTCAGAATCTCCATCTGGTTGCCCTGGGAGGACAGGGAAGCTGGGTGCTTGGCATGCGGAATGCTGCCAGGACCCCAAGGTAGTGAGTGCCAACCTTGCAAGACATGTGTGGCCTGAGCCAAGTGGCCAAGCCTGGTTGGTCTGGAGACAGGCGCCCTCAGCCCACCCCAGCAGGCGCTGCCCTGGGATCCCTTGGTGCTGAGATGAACGTTGTCAGCGCACGATGACTGCCTCCCCTGCAGTCCAGGGTGACGAGTGCAGCCTCTCACCCTGGGGACAGTGCAGTGGCGACAGTCAGGATTCTGACTGGGGATTCCAGCAGGAAGGGGCACATGTGCCCTGATCTCCCCTTGCCCAGGCATGCTGGGCCTTACCAGACTGTCCTTAAAATGGTAACTGGCACAGCGGGGTGCAATGGCACACCTCTTTAACCTCAGCAACTCAGGAGGCTGAGGCAGGAGAATCACAAGGCTAGTCTGTGCAACGTAGTGAGGCACTATCTCAGATACATTAAGAAGGTTGGCCAGGGGTGCACATCTGTAATTCTAGTGGCTGGGGAGGCTGAAACAGGAAGATCTCCAGTTCAAAGCCAGTCTCAGCCATGGTGAGGCACCAAGCAACTCAGTGAGACCCTGTCTCTAAATAAAATTCAAAATAGGGCTGGGGGTGTGGCTCAGTGGCCGAGTGTCCCTGAGTTCAATCTGTGGTACACCCCTCCAAGAAAAAAAGGGCTGGAGATGTAGCTCAGCCGCACAGCATACCTGGACTCAATCCACAAGATAAAAAAGGGAAAAAGAATGGTGATTGGCAGTCAGAGAGTTCAGAAGGCTCTACCTGTATAGGCCCAGTGAAAGTCCAGGGAGCTCCTAGTGGGGAGTCCAGACACAAGTGGATATTCCAGGGCAGGGTTCCCTGCTGGGGCCTACTTGCTGGACAACGGCACCCTTGGATGAAGGTGTGGGTCCAGGAGAGGGGCTCGCTGTGGAGCAGGAGGACTCCAGAATTGGGAAGTTTCCCTGACAGGCACTTAATCCTGGGGGGTCGTGGCTACTTAGGGAGGGGAGAGGACCAGAGCCCCTGCCATAACGGGTGCCTGGGAGAGCTGAGTGGTCCGACGCATGTTCTGCCCTCCTTGTCCCCAGGTGAGAAGCCACACCAGTGCGCAGTGTGCTGGCGATCCTTCTCTCTGCGCGACTACCTGCTCAAGCACATGGTCACGCACACTGGCGTGCGCGCCTTCCAGTGCGCAGTTTGCGCCAAGCGCTTCACACAGAAGAGCTCCCTCAATGTGCACATGCGCACACACCGGCCGGAGCGTGCTCCCTGCCCCGCCTGTGGCAAGGTCTTCTCGCACAGAGCGCTGCTGGAGCGCCACCTGGCTGCGCACCCTGCGACCTGACGCGGGATCTGGCTACACCCACCAGGAATCGACTGCGCCCCCACGCAGTTGGCTACTGCTGCGTTCCGTGACCGCCACTCCGCTCTTCCCTGCCCTATCCCTTTCTCCAGACTGAACCTGGGGCCCGGCCTATCACTCCTCTCTTCCACGTCCTTGGACCCTCTAGGTAGGGCAAGGTCCATAAAGGGGACAGTCAGAGACCTGGCCACGAAGAACTGGACCATTTCCCGTCTGAAAGTAGGCTCACAGGCCCGAGGAACTGGGTCCGGGTTTAAATCTCTGGTGTTGATTTGCGCGCGCCTCCCATTAGCTGTAGGGTGGGGATACAGCTCTGTCTGAATATTGGTTGAACGATGTCCCTGGGCCCCACTTGGCACGACCCCTTCCTCATCCAGGGCCTGAGAAAGCCCAGATGGACCCATCATGGAATAGGTCAGACCTTGGAACTCTCACTTCTCACTCTATAATAAAAGAGTCTGGTCAGTGCACACTGCCATTGTAGACTGGCTGGGCTAGGAACATCAGGCTTCGGCATCCACGTTTCTGGGCAGCACCCTGCCATGGGATTCTGTTCTGGGTATCTAGGGTGAGTTGCATATATGACTGAAGGTCAGTTCACTCAGAGCTGTAGGCCAGGCCCTCCATCTGAAATGAGGGGCACCACAAAACTCACCCAGGGGGTCCTTTGGAGCCAGGCTGCTTCAGGGTATGTGAGCCCAGGATACCTACCTTTGTTCCCTTTGTTTCCGGGTGCCAGGTACTAGAGTGCAGTGTGAATTAGTTGGCCCAGGGCTGGGTGGATGAAGGTGGCCACCCCAATTAAGATGATGTCACAGGACCTTGCACATCAGACCTCTGCCAACCCAGAGGGGTCACACTCCCCCTTCTCCCAACTCCAGTGCACTGACAGCTCCTGGATTGGGTACCCTGCTTTAAGGATTTGGATCCAGTGGAGGGGGTTATAGCCAGCAGGGCCATGCCCTAGTCCTACTTGTCACTGCCTCCAGAGGCAAGGGGAAACCACACATCACAGGAAGAGTTCAGCTTCTGAACCCCAAGCTCAATCCCTGTTGATGTGGGGGTGAGGCAGAGTCCCAGTGCAGGCCTGTGGTGGACAGCTAGGCTTGAGTTCAGGCATTGCAGGTGTTCATTTTCTGAGCTATTGCTGTGCACCTGGAAGGAGGTTAGGGAGGCCTGATCACTGGGAACAAGAGGCTTGACCCAGCAGAACCTCATCTCCCCAAGGGGTCAGTGAGTACTGCAGGAGGACCACCCAGTGAGGTCAGCAGAGCGTCTGAAGCTTTTCCATTTGACTTGAATGAAACACTTCCAGTGCCGGGATTTCTGACTGTCTCCCAAATGCCTAGAATATAGTAAGCATGGATGGAAGTACTCCATATACTTGTCCCCACACTGGAAAGAGAACTAGATAAGCAGGACAAGCAGAAAGGAGACTGGCATTTGTGCTCAAGAAGAGAGACCTGGGGGCCCTGAGGCCTGCAGCAGAGAGGGGGACAGGCCTGGTAAACAGGCCAGAAGGGCTGGGACTATACACAAGACCAGGAAGAGAAAACAAATAGGAGGAAAAGAGCCGAGGGCGGAGCAGCCACTGTCAGTGCCTGGGCCATCATCTGGGGGAGGGGTGGACAGGCTGCTCTGAGGGCAGGAGGCCAAGGCCAGGAAACCCGGGGACAGAGGTGAGAGTGCCTTCCACAGCCACTTCTCCAAGGACAGAGCTGGTGCCATGGGTATCAGGCAGTGGCTGGCCTTTCTGCTGTTCTTGCTGCTTCTGCTGTGGGGTCTGGAGCAGCCCATATGGCTACCGGCTGTGGCACTGACCCTGCGGTGGCTCCTGGGAGACCCTGCCTGCTTCCTGCTGCTTGGCCTGGTGGTATTGGCACAGCCCTGGGTCAGCTCCTGGAGGTCCCACTGGCTGAGCCTGGTGGCTGTGCTTCTGACCCTGATTCTATCGCCTGCCCGGCCACCCCCAGGGCTACGCTGGCTGCCTGCAGATATGGCCTACTTGGCCAAGATCCTCTACCTAGGATGGAACATCAGGACACAGTTGAGCCGACAGCCTCCCGACACCTTTGTGGATGCCTTCGAGCGACAAGCGAGAGCACAACCTGGTCGGGTGTCCTTGGTGTGGACAGGGCACGGGGCCTGCTCGGTCACCATTGGTGAGCTAGATGCCCGGGCCTGCCAGGCAGCATGGGCCCTTAAGAATGAGCTGGGCAAACCCACAGGCCTGGGTGTCAGGAAGCCAGCTGCCCTCCTGGTACTGACTTCCCAGGCCATTCCTGCTCTGACCGTGTGGCTGGGGCTGGCCAAACTGGGCTGCCCAGTGGCTTGGATCAACCCACATGTCCGGGGGACACCCCTGGTGCACTCTGTGCTGAGCTCTGGGGCACAGCTGCTGGTAGTGGACACAGGTGAGGGCCCCAGGGCCAGTGGAGGAGGGAAGGGGATAGGGGCAAGGGTTGGACTGAAGGTCAGAAGTTCTGGTGGGGGGTGGGAAGAGAGCCCTTTGCTCCCGTCTGCTCATGTCACAGATCATTAGGGTCAAAAGTTGGCATAATTGGAAACGAATCCTGGGGCCAATGGTTGTGATTTTTCCAAAATTACTGTTTCAATCCTTCTTTGCAAAAAAGAAATAAAATTACTAATTATTGAATTCTTTGCCCAAGAATGCTAGTTGCTGTCTGCCTCTGGGTCTTGGGTACCCCGCTTGACCTCACAGGTAAGCTTTGCCTCAGTTTTCCTCTGGCCATTCCTGCAGATCTTAAAGAGAACCTGGAAGAAGTCCTTCCTGAGCTGCAGGCTGAGAACGTCCGCTGCTTCTACCTCAGTCATGTCTCCCCTACGCCAGGTGTGGGGGCTCTGGGGGCTGCCCTGGAGGCTGCTCCTTCTGACCCAGTGCCTGCTGACCTGCGTGCTGAGGTCACATGGCAAAGCCCTGCCCTGTTCATCTACACCTCAGGGACCACCGGTGAGGGTACCCCTCAGCCCCAGCCCCGCCTCTTACACAACCCTGACTTGTCCTGTGCCTGCCACTTGTCCTCTGACACCTGCCTTCTGATTCAGACATCTGGTCTTGACTCTGATTCCCAGTGTGATTTGGGTGGTCAATGCAGAAATCCTGCCTCTGTCCAATAAATGGAACTGAAACCCTACTGACCGTTAGTCTTTACCTATTACTCCCTATTGGAATTCAGCCTCAGAATACAGCCACAAATTCCCACTTGACCCCTCTGAGGCCTGAAGCCCAGTGCCTGACTGGAGAGCTGCCCCTCGGTTATGGGCTCTTCCGTGCTACCCTTTCACCACTCCCCTTCCCACTCCTTCCTTCCCCAGGGCTCCCAAAGCCAGCCATCCTCTCACATGAGCGTGTACTACAGATGACCAAGATGCTGCCCTTTTGTGGGGCCAGAGCTGATGATGTGGTCTACAGTGTCCTGCCTTTGTACCATGTGATGGGGCTTGTTGTTGGGATCCTCAGCTGCTTAGAGCTTGGTAAGCCCTTCTCTGAAAATCCCTCCAATCAGTGGAACCATTGGAGTGGGTGTCAGGGTAGGGTGGTCACGGCGACAACCCAGTACCCCAGGTTCTCGTGTGTGTGTGTTGCTTGGGGATTAAACTCACTGAGCTATACTCCAGTCCTTTTTATTTCTGCTTTTGAGACACATTCTCACTAATTTGCTGATGCAGGCCTCAAACTCACAATCCTCCTGGCTTAGTCTCCCCAGTCGCTGAGACTATAGGCATGTTCCCCTGTGTCTAGCTTATGTGTAAATATTTTTAAAAAATATTTATTTTTTAGTTTTAAGTGGACACAATATCTTTATTTTATTTTTATGTGGTGCTGAGAATCAAACCCAGTGCCTCACACATGCCAGGCAAGCACGCTACCACTTGACCCACATCCCCAGCCCATATAAACATTTTTATCACAGAAATACATGTTTGTTTGTTTGTCTGTACTAGGGATTGAACTCAGAGGCACTCAGCCACTGAGCCACATCCCCAGCCCGATTTTGGATTTTATTTTATTTAGAGACAGGGTCTCACTGAGTTGAGTTGCTTAGCACCTCACTGTGCTGAGGCTGGCTTTGAACCACAATCCTCCTGTCTCAGCCTCTTGAGCCACTGGGATTACAGGCATGCGCCACCCTGCCTGGCTTAAATGTATGTATTTTTAATTCTTTTTTAAAGTTGTAATTGGACACAATACCTTTGTTTTATTTATTTTTATGTGGTGCTGAGGATTGAACCTAGGGCCTTGCATGTGCTAGGCGAGCGCTCTACCACTGAGCCACAACTCTATGCCCTAAACATGTGTATTTTTGAGACAGAATCTTGCTTGCTAAGTCACTCAGACTTGTCTTGAACTCCTGGATTCAGGAGAGTATCTTGCTTCAGCCTCCTGAGCAGCTGGGACTACAGTGTGTGCCGTGATGCCCAGCTTCTTGTGGAAAGCTTCAAACACACAAAAGTACAGATGATTTGCTGGTGTCTTATATATCCTCGCCCACCTTCAACACTTGTCAACATGGTGCCAGTTTTATTTCTATATGTACTCTTCTTTTCAGATTATTTTAGGGGAAATTCTAGACTTTTTTGTTTGTTTTGTGGTACCAGGGCTCAGCAACTTAGTGAGGCCCTAAGTAACTTAGCCAGACCCCATCTCTAAATTTAAAAAAGAAAAAAAAGAACCGTAACCATTTGTACTATTTTGTGTCAAGTCCATATTCAAATTTCCCCAATTGCCTTTTTTTTTAGTTGCAGATGGACATAATACTTTATTTATTTTTATATGGTGCTGAGGATTGAACCCAGTGCCTCACACACACCAGACAAGCACTCTGTCACGGAGCCACAACCACAGCCCTCCCCAATTGCTTTTTTACAGTTAAAGTCTCCGTGTTCGTTTACTTGTTAGGTGTCCATTCCTCTTTCCTCCGAGATTTCCTGTAAGATTAAAAGGCCTTCTAAAGGGTTTTTAGGTTCAGTTTCTGCTTTGTTTTGCTGTTTGTTCACATGCTGGGGCTTGAATCTAGGGACTCGGACATACTGAACAAATTCTCTACCACCAAACTATACCCCCAGCACTGATTTCTATTATTTCTGACAAGAATCTTGGTGAGGGGTGGCTGGTGATTCCTCCTTTGTCACACCGGGGGCACTTATGTCTGTTACCTGCCTTAGAGAGGTTGAGATGGACTGGGAAATCTCTCCATCAAGGTTCCCTAGTTGCTTCTTTTGCAATTCAGATGTTTCCTTAGGGATTGGAAGCAAAACTGCCAATTTCAGTGACCTGGGTTGTGTTTTCACAGAGAGCATTGTTACTTTTCCCCAAAAAACACAGTCTCAGAGAAGACACGTTTGTTACCTCACCAGGCACACAAGCAGCTACCCCTTGGGTGCAGGATGATGAACCAGATGCCATATAGGGGTCAGGAGGGAAGAATCACTTTCCTGGAGTGAACACAGTGGCCCCAAAATATTATCACTGATCCATGTGCCATCTGTCAATACTATATGCCCTCCTACCAAACCTCCCATCCAATGACTCACCTTCCTCCTCGCCCATTCTCCCATCCATCTCTCTACCTACTTACCTGTCCATTCATCCACCCTCACACCTACCCATCCATCTTTCTATTCACCCATCTATCCAGGTACCCACCCACCCCTGCCACCACCCACCCATCCATCCATGCATTCCCCATCCAATCTATCTACCCACAAGTCACCTTTCCACCCACCCACCATACCCATCCTCCCACTTACCCATCTACTTTACTAGTCATTCACTTATCAAATCTGAGAATGATTCATCGCCAGCCCTATTTGGCAGTGTCTACTTTATACCAGGTACTGAGCTTTGCACACTTCTGGAAACGAGACTTGAATCCAGGCCTCCCTATACTCTTCTCAGGGGAGTAGTCCTGCTGGGCCAAGACACAGAAATGAGACGGACATCGTCCTGTGTTCTAACGTGCCACAATCACACATTCAAAGCAGTTTCTCACAGTTACTCGGAAGCATGATTTGAAACTCCCTCCTTCTCTTCCTCCCAGGAGCCACCTGTGTCCTGGCCCCCAAATTTTCTGCCTCCCGCTTCTGGAATGATTGCCGGCAGCATGGTGTGACAGTGATCCTGTATGTGGGCGAGATCCTGCGGTACCTGTGTGATGGTCCCCAGGTGAGGCTCTAGGATGAGGTTTCATGTTGAATACTCCAGGCATGGAATCCCAGATAATATCCCAAGTAGAATTCTTAGACAAGATTCAGGTACTGGTAGGGGTTGGTTGTTTCCTCCCACAGCTAAACACTCAAGGTCACTCCAGGTGAAGGGATCATTTCACTGGGCTGCATGAAATGATCGCACAGAGACAGAGGAACACCTTTATCTTTGGGTCTTGTGATGGCTCCTCTGACCTGAGAGGTCTGTGGAAAGAGAGAGAGGCACATGCTGAACCCTTTATTGGGGAGAAGCCATTCAAATGAGGCCAGGGGTCAGGTTCCAGGGGGTTGAGTCTAGCTTTGTGTTGTCTACTGTCAGCAGGCCGACTGACATCTAGGAAGGCCATGCCCATCTCATGAGCTGTGTGGGGATCACAGGCAGAGCCAGCGAAAAGACCAGAGCCAAGCTCGCCCAAACAGAGGGGCAAAGTGGGTTCAGTCCACTTTGTGTGCTCGGTGCTCATAGTTCACACACACAGCCCATGACTGGCTCGCCACATCTCCACATTCTCATGGCTCAAGGCTCAGGGGCTCTTGGTTCCTATGTGGCAGCTCCCGACAGTTGGCACCTTTGGTCCTATGGGGTGTAGCTCAAAGGTAGAGCATGCATTTAGCATGTGTGAAGCCCTGGGTTCCATCTCCAGCACCCTGGGAAAATTCAAGTGTTGAACTCACCCAGGTTCCTCAGGTAATTCATTGTGTATAATGAATTATCCACAAGGTTGGGGAACTTTTGATGATTAGCTTGGGCAGGTGACTTTACCAGTGTCATCATTTGAAAAATATAGATAAGAATAGCCCCTACCTGAGGGGGTATTGTCAAAATTAAATAAATTAAATATATGTAAAGTGCCCAGACAGGGTGTAGCTCAAGGGTAAACTCACATCCTCCTACAGAGCAATAAGGTGTGGTTCCCAGGTAACTATCTCTAGGCAAGGTCCCCAGGTATCCCTCCCAGTTAAGGTTCAAGGTAACTCCGAGAAAGGCTTCAGGTAACTGCTCAAGATGAGGCTTTAAGTCACTCCCCTGGTTACCTTCAAATAAAGGTTCCTGAGTAAGCCTTCTAGGTAAGGCTCCCTTCTAGATTACCTTAGGTGACCCCTGCCAGGTCAGTTCCAGGTAACTACCCCCAGGTGAGACCCCACATATTCCTCCTCAGTAAGACCCCCAGATGGATGTGGTCTGCAGTCAACCTAGGTAGGCCTCCAGATAACCTAGGAGCGACCTCCAGGTAACTTTCCTGAGGCAAAGCTCTCAGGTAACTTCTACAGGTAACTCGGCAATAAATATCCTGAAGAACCTCAAGTAGGGGCTGGGGTCAAAGCGCAGTGGTAGAGCACTTGCCTAGTACCTGTGAGGCACTGGTTTGATTCTCAGAACTACATATAAATGAATAAAATAAAGGTCCATTGACAACTAAAATAATAATAATAATAAAAAACAATCCCAAGTAGATCTAGTTACAGGTCATCCCCCAGGATAACTCCTAAGATAAGGACCCAAGATAGCCCCCTCCCCTGGGAAAAGGTTCCTGGACATGCTGTCTCCTCCTCACTCTTCTTGTGATGTCTTTGCAGCGACCAGAGGACCAGACACATACAGTCCGTCTTGCAATGGGCAATGGACTGCGGGCAGATGTGTGGGAAACCTTCCAGCAGCGTTTCGGTCCCATTCGGATTTGGGAATGCTATGGCTCCACGGAGGGCAACATGGGCTTTGTGAACTATCCGGGGCACTGTGGGGCTGTGGGCAAGACAAACTGCCTCCTGCGAGTGAGTGGGTAGGGCACCCAGGTTACAGTGGCCTTGAGGCTGACCCCAGAGGACCTCTGCCAATGCCCGCTACCCTCCACCCCAGGTACTGTCTCCCTTTGAGCTTGTGCAGTTTGACACAGAGGCAGCGGAACCTGTGAGGGACAAGCAGGGCTTCTGCATCCCTGTGGAGCCAGGTATGGAGGTAGTTTTCTCTGGTGTTGGGGGAGTGGACACCCTGGTGGACACTTGTAGTCTCCTCCTCCACCTCTGCAACAAGCGGCCCAAAGCCTTGAGATCGGTGCCAGCTGGGGGTGTCTGCAGCCCTCATCTGATCTCCCAGGCCCTGGGTTGTCTGACTACACCTGGGGCCAGCCCCCTGCCTCAGTCTCTCGCTCTCACTATGGGGTCTCTAGGTGTCTGAGTTGTTTTCTTGAGCTTTCTGCGGGGGTCACAGCCTCTTGGGCATCAGTCCCCTGTCCTGTACCTTCTCGTCTTCTCTCCTGGGGCCTGGCCAGGACCTGGCCATGTCGGTCTTCCCACCGCCATTTTTTTCTTGCCCATCCCCTGTCGTCCCTTTCCTGTTTCTCACGGGTTCCCCGAGGCCCCTGTGTTTCGCGTCTGTCTGCCGGTGCCCGTCTCCCCGGGGTCTTTACTCCTGCTCTCCTCCCCGTGTTTCTGCCTCTCCGCTGCTGGTGCCAGGTGAAGAGTCCACCACCCTGGGGAAACTGAGGCGGGGCTGCTGGCGGCCGAGGTCCTGCGTCCCTCTTTATCCTCTCCTCCTCCTCCTGCAGGGGAGGCCGGTCTCTTGCTGACGCGGGTCCTAGGCCGCCACCCTTTTCTGGGCTACCGCGGGCCCCGAGAGCAGTCGAAGCGGAAACTGGTGTCGGACGTGCGGCGCCGGGGCGACGTTTACTTCAACACCGGGGACGTCCTGGCCCTGGACGCCGCAGGCTTCCTCTACTTCCGTGACCGCCTGGGAGACACCTTCCGGTCGGGGCCGGGCTGGGGGCGGGGCCGGGCTGGGGGCGGGGCCTCGGGGCCCCAGGGACCCGGAGGAGACGGCGCTCGGGGGGAGGCGGGGCTTCCCCCCTGCGGGGGCGTGGTCCCAAGGCCCGGCTCCCGCCCCTGCAGATGGAAGGGTGAGAACGTTTCCACCAGGGAAGTGGAGGGCGTGCTGTCGCAGGTGGACTTCCTGCAGGAAGCGAATGTCTACGGCGTGGGTGTGCCAGGTGCCAGGAGTTTGCTTGTTTTAAACCTCCAAAAGCTTTGTGGGCGGAGGGTGGTTATTTCGATTCTGCCAGGGGAACTGCTGTGACACAGTGGTTTAATGTCCAGTGTCACAGCCACTGGCCAGGTTGGAGGGCCAGCCGAGAGTGACAAGTGTGCTTCCCAGGGTGCGAGGGGAAGGTGGGCATGGCTGCCGTGCAGCTGGCTCCGGGCCAAACTTTCGATGGGCAGAAGCTGTATCAGCATGTCCGTGCTTGGCTCCCTGCGTATGCCGTCCCGCATTTCGTCCGTGTCCAGGTAAGCCAGGGCGGGCCGCCAGGAGAAGCGGGTGAGGGATCGCGGCCCAGGGTTTCACAGAGGAGTTTCACAGTCGTCGTCACCATCACCGCCCTGTAGGAGGTACTGGAGATCACAAGCACGTTCAAATTGGTGAAGCCCCGTTTGGTGCGTGAGGGCTTTGATGTGAGTGTCATCGTTGACCCCGTGTTCATACTGGACCACCGGGTCCAGGCCTTCCGGCCCCTGACAGCAGACATATACCAGGCTGTGTGTGAAGGAACCTGGAAGCTCTGACCACCTGGCCAGCACTCGGGCCCTACGGGGGGGGCAGAGACCAGTACCCACCCACTGTGGCTGTGGGCGAAAGATGCGACTCATGCAGTCCACGGGGAGAAATAAAGAATGTGCCCACGCTTCTGCCCTGGTAAATGATTTATTCACTCAAATCACTCGCTACAATTTCACTCTAGACGTTCTTAATCAAGAAAACAACAATCCTTAATTCTAGGCACTGCAATAGACATAATCAATTCACAGCAAACAATTCTAGATTAATTCTAAGCAGTGCAAACACACTTAATCATGATGTGCTAAGTTCAAGTGTCAGATCCAAAGTCTCAAGCCTTGGGCTGGGCTACACAGCTCAGCGGCAGAGCACTTGCCTAGCATGCATGAGGCATGGGGTTTGATCCTCAGCACCACATAAAAATAAACAAATAAAATAAAGGCATTGTGTTCATCTATAACTACAAAAAAAAATTAAAAAAAAAACAAACAACCCTCTCAAGCCTTAGGCTTTAAGTCCAGCAGATGCACACTCACTCAGACTGCGGTGATCCGGTCAGGAACCAAGGCAGGCTTCTCCTGGGGTGGAGCTGATGGCCAGTTAAGGAGAGGGTCCTAGGGACAAGTTGCGGCTATCACCAGGGTCAAGATGTGGTTGTAAAGTTTGAGAGTGGTGAGGAAACTGCAGAGGATCAGCAAATGGCAAAAAGTATTGGGGTGTCAGGTCCTCATCAGGCTCTCAGAGTGAGGACATCCTTGTTGGCTGGATGGCTGAATGTCTCTGTTCATTTGCTCTATTATTTATACCAAATTTTGGGGCTTTTGACCCCCCTTTCAATCCTTATCAACTGCCACTGGGATCTCTCAGTGACAACTGGTCTGGTGGTCCCCAACCTAATCTTTCCACCTTTCTCTCTTATCAAGCGCTTTTCCCTCTAATCAGTGAGGACAGCCTGCCAGAGGCTTCACTCTGAGTTTATTAGGGTGGGAAGAAGTGACTTGTTTGTGGCTGAGGGCCATACTGGAGGGCTCCTTTAGGTGTGCCTGGTGAGACTGCATGATTCAAACTTGAGTTTTAAAATGGAGTTGCTGGGGCTGGGGTTGTGGCTCAGCGGTAGAGAGCTCGCCTAGCACATGCGAGGCCCTGAGTTCGATTCTCAGCACCACGTAAAAATAAATAAATAAAATAAAGGTAAAAAATAAATTGGGGTTGCTTAGGTTCAGGCCTAAGGCCATCCTCACATCCACACCCCTGTCATCTCCATCTTGGACCTGCATAACTGCGTTGTTATCCCAGCAGGGCTGGCAATGACTCTGGGTTTTGCCACAGCAAGAATAAATTCGACTGTGAACATAGAAGTCTGTGTCTAGCTGGCTAAGGAAACAGAGAAGCAGCCAGGCTGGTGGCGCACGCCTGTAATCCTAGCAGCACCAGGAGGACTGCAAGTTCAAAGCCAGCCTCAGCAATTTAGCAAGGCACTAAGTAACTCATCAAGACACTGTCTCTAAAGGGCTGGGGGTGTGGCTCAGTGGTTAAGTGCTGCTGGTACTATCCCTGGTACGAAAAAAAAGAGGAGGAGGAGAAGAAGAAGAAAATAGAGAAAAGCCATATCCCCCAGTGCTCCCCAGGACCTTACTCCAGAGTCCTCTACCAGAGACCTGATTTTGGGGAGGAGGGGAGGTCCCGTTTGGACAAAGCCAAAGATATGAGAGCTGCTGCTCCAAGAGAGTTTCGACTCCATCTGTGGGTCTTTTGGGCTTCCTGAGGCTACAGGGCCTGGGTTGGGCTGGTGTAGTAGAAGGGAAGGATGCCCTGTGACCTGCGGCCTGCAGGATGTGGGGAGAAATGTGAATAGGTGATCGGAAAAGAGTGGAGGGCACTGGCCTAGGACAAAAAGGGAGTGGACCGTTCCAGGCAGGGAGCAGCAACACGTGCAATACCCTGAGGAGTTTGGGGCCGGTGGGGTGGGGAGGGCATGGAGCAGACATAGGGTCGCCAGCCTGGGCTCCTGGGAGACGTCCCAGACCCCAATCTGAAGCCTTTAGAAAATGACTGGAAGTGTTTCCTGGGACATGGTGGGTACTGCAGGTGTGGGGGGGCCTCCTCGCGGTCCAGCGCTGGAGCGCTGCGCGCGGCCTTTGCTAGGTGCCAGAACGGGAGTGCCCTCCGGCGCCGCAAGAGGTCGGTAGGTGCCACCTCCAGGGCGAGCTGCCCTCAGGGTCCCGGAAGTCCCCTCAGGCTCTTGGCGACCAGGTGCCAGGTCCCCAGGCTGGTCCTCCCATCTGGAGCGCAGAGGTGCCATCTGGCGCGGTGGCAGCTGTGGGTGAGCCGGCCTCCGCAGAAGCAGCTGCGGCTCTGCCTTGAGGCTGGATCTTCCGTGGGGGATGCTGATCTCACCTCTGGGGCGCGGACGGCGAGAACCACATAGCAGTAGCACCTGCATTAGGCTGTCCCGGGGCAGCACTCTGGGTTGAAGTTCCTTTGAGCCCTTGAGGGAGCCTTGGCCTCCTGATCCAAGGGCCCACAGGAGACCTGACCGGCCTTTGAAGCCAGCAGCAGAGCCGTAGTAGCTCCACAAACTTCCGCCTGGTAGACTCTGAAGCTTTGCGGGTCAACTTGGGGAGAGGACCGACTGCACCTCTCCCAGGTTCTGGTCCTGTCAGTTGGGGTCTGGCTCTGAGAATCTGTCATCTGTGCCTGCTGGGCATTGTGACCGACTCCCGTTGTTGTCATCTGCCCTTTCTCTGACTTTCCCAGCTGATGAGGTTGCTTGTGCTCCCCACAGAACTGCGGATCCTTTACACAACTGGTCTGAGATCTGGGCCCACTGGGGTCCAGCTCTCCTCCCCGGCAGAGAGTAGGTCATTGCATTCATTCACATTCCTGTTTGTCCCAGGAGGTCAATAGCCTGGCAATGAAGGCATTTATAGCTGTGTGGATATGATAGTAGAGGCTCGAACTTTGCCACCGACTGGGGCCCAGGGTTGTCTCCTGTTGCAGACACCATTTCTCTTAGGAAGGACTCTGGTCAGAAAGGGAGCTAGAAGTTGTATGAACATAGCAGCAGGAGCTGGCCATTACTGTTGCAACCTCAGCTTGCTCCCCCCGGTACACAAAAGGTCTGATATCATTTGACAGTGGGCACCTAGCAACAGAGGCTGGCCCTCTGGATGGCTCTCCTGCCATGAACTTAGTAGGTCATTGTTACATTAAGGTCTTTGTACCCTCTGAAAGCAGATAGCAGCCCAGGGGGAGGTTGGAGTGCATGTATGAAACAGCAGAGGTGGGTGCTGGCCACCTCCGCTGTGGTCCTGTGCCTGTCATGTCTTATGACCATCCATTGAGATCTGACAAGCCCTGCTCTCTAGGCTTCCCCGAGCTCCTGCACAAGGTTGCCCTTAATCTCGTGCTACCCTTTGTCCAGGTATCAGGATTTTTGCATGTACCACACTGTGAGTGGGTGTTAAATTTTAGTTGTCTGCAAATAAGTAATGTTGCATTCCTGTGGCAAGAAGTTTGAGGAGTCCTGGGCAGTGAGGCCATGTCTCTGTATTTCCTACTATCAGAAAAAGCCAGCATCTGAAATGTGGACTGAGGAAACCACCAGTGAACAGATTACCAGGTGACATGTTCCAGATGCAGAGGAGAGTGGGAATGGTGGTAGATTTGAACCTGTCTTTGGATCCCAGAACTTGCAGCATGAAGAAAGGCAGCCACTTATTGGCTGCATGACCTGGGGCAAGTCCCTAGAACCACCTGCCCCCACCCACATGCCTCAGTTTCCTCTAATTTAAAATGGGGCAGATGTCTACCCCATATTTACCTTGAAGGATGTTTGAAAGGATGTTACCTTGAAGGATGTTTATCTAGAAAGGGGAAAGGAAATTTTCCCATAAGGGTTAACTAGTGTCTTTGCTTTTGGCATCTTTGCTCTGATGTCACTCAGGGCCTCAGTTTCTTCATCTGCAGAGTGGACATGTATCACATCCCACGACTAAATACTTACGGTCACTCCAGGTGAACTGGGCTGGCATGAAACAATCACACAGAGACAGAGAAATACCATTTTCTTTTTCTTTCTTTTTTTTTAAAGAGAGAGAGAGAGAAGAGAGAGAATTTTTTTAATATTTATTTTTTAGTTATTGGCGGACACAACATCTTTGTATGTGGTACTGAGGATTGAACCTGGGCCGCACGCATGCCAGGCGAGCGCGCTACCGCTTGAGCCACATCCCCAGCCCGAGAAATACCATTTTCTTGGGTCTTATGACAGCTCCTCTGATCTTAGATGTCCGTGGAAAGAGAGAGAGGAGCTGAACCCTTTTATTGGGGAGAAGCTATTCAAATGAGGCCAGGGGTCAGGTTCCAGGGGTTGAGTCTAGCTTTGTGTTGTCTACTGTCAGCAGGCCGACTGACATCTAGGAAGGCCATGCCCATCTCATGAGCTGTGTGGGGATCACAGGCAGAGCCAGCGAAAAGACCAGAGCCAAGCTCGCCCAAACAGAGGGGCAAAGTGGGTTCAGTCCACTTTGGCACTCAATGCTCGTAGTTCTCACACACACACACACACACACACACACACACACACCCCATGGCTGGCTTGTCACATCTCCACATTCTCATTGCTCAAGGCTAAGGGGCATCTGGTTCCTATGTGGCAGCTCCTGACAGACATGTTGTCTGTCTTGCCTGTCATTTGAGAGAATCATCATAAACAACTATAGGAATAAACTTGTGTCTGAGAACACTCATGGGGTGCCTGGGGGTCAAGCTAGGGCTGGTACTTTTCAATCGACACCTTATCTTACCCTTTCATGTGAGAAACTAGTGGGACTCCATTTTTGAGAAACCAGCCTCTACCTCAGCGCAAAGCCTGACAAAGGAAGTGGGTGTGACCTTTGTCCTTGGAAAAACCCACAGAGCACTCCTAAGCACATACCCACCTGCTGAGTTGTTTGTCTACAAATAACAGGAGAGATCTGCTGCACCAGGTGTCCCTGACTCAGTCAGGCTAGGTGGGGATCCACAGCAGCCCCCTAGCAACCACCAATCAGCATGAGACAGGGAAATACCTGGGATGCCAGATGACCCCCAGTAGTTTATGGTGGTAGATAACATGTTGGGAAACCATGTAGTTTAGTAAGTACACCCCTTGTGGTTTAAACTAATCAGTTCAAAGGAACCCCCCCTCTTGTACTAGCCAATCACCTTTACCCAACTTGTTCCTGCCAGTGAATGTGCTAATCAATGTTAAGAGTTGTTGTCATGGGCTGGGGATGTGGCTCAAGCTGTAGTACGCTCACCTGGCATGCGTGCGGCCCAGGTTCGATCCTCAGCACCACATACAAACAAAGATGTTGTGTCCGCCGAAAACTAAAAAAAATAAATAAATATTAAAAAAAATTCTCTCTCTCCTCTCCCACTCTCTCTTTAAAAAAATATATTTAAAAAAAAGAGTTGTTGTCATAACCCACTTGAATCTAATGTATGAAATGATATGTCAAGAGCTTTGTAATGTTTTGAACAACCAATAAAAAAAAAAAGAGTTGTTGTTTGACTTTCCTGCGGTATGGAATGATTTGCTGTGTGATGTTGTGATGCACAGAGTATCCCCCAAAACCTATAAAATCTCCCTGGACAAAGGACCGGGACCATTGCATCGGGAACGGTTGTGAGTCCAGGCTCGAGCTGGCAATAAAGACTCTTGTGATTGCATCGGATTCGGCTCCTGGAGGTCTACTGAGGTCCCATGAATCTGGCATTACAAATGCATCCCATACGGTAGGTTGTAATGGTGTTCCACTTTAAGGTGAAGGTAGCTGCAGTTGAGAGAGGTTATGAGTTATTTAGCAAACCCTGTCAGTGCAGGTGTCAGGTCAAAGGGCATAAATGTTATAAACAAGATCTCATTCTGGATCCTCAGACCCATCCAGCTTGAGTAATTTATACTTATGCTAGGCAAGCATTCTACCACCGAGCTACAACCCTAGCCACATCCTCAGCCCTTTTAATTTTGGAGACAGGATCTTGCTAAGTTACACAGGCTGACCTTGAGCTTGTGATCCTCCTGACTCAGTAGCTAGGATTACATTATTGTCTGGAGTCTTATTTGCTATTTTTGAAGACTGAGCGATCCATTACATTATTTTTATTTATTTATTATTTATTATTAGGTACTGGGGATTGAACTCAGGGGCACTCAGCCACTGGGCCACATCCCCAGCCCTATTTTGGATTTTACTTAGAGACAGGGTCTCACTGAGTTGCCTACCGCCTCACCATTGCTGAAGCTGGCTTTGAACTCATGATCCTCCTGCCTCAGCTTCCCAAACTGCTGGGATTACAAGTGTGCACCACCACACCCAGCCATTATTTTGAATTATGTCTTATTTGTTGACAATGCTGTTAATACCCAACAGTGTGATGAATGGGATATGGGGCAAAGAAAAAGGCAGACCAGGTCTACCCACATATTGCTGGTGTTCTTCTGGTTACTTCTAAGCATACACCTCATTTTTGGTTTATCAACCTAATAAAGTTCCTGATGATATGAATTCCTGCTTCATAGTCTTTCTCCACATTTTATTATGTTGTAGTCATTTTCTTTTTGGGGGCTCAAAAATATTGTTGTTTATGTTGCAGATGCTTTTATCTAATACTTTGCTTTTGTAGAAAATCTATTTTCTATGGGTTGAGGATATAGCTTAGTTAATAGAGTGCTTGCTTTGAATGCATAAGGCCCCTGGGTTCAATCCCCAGCACCACCCAAAAAAAGAAAAGAAATAAAACCTATTTCTATTAGATTTTTAAATGTGTTGTCAAGGAGTTATTCACAATATTCATTTTGATGTCTCTCTGTGGATATAATTTTTTTTTTTTTTTGGTGAGGGTGATTGAACCCAGGGCCTTGTGCATGCAAGACAGCCACTCTACCAACTGAGCTATATCCTGGCCCGGATACAGTTTAATCTCCTTTTTTAAAAAATATTTTTTTTTAGTCATAGATGGACATAATACCTTTACTTATTTTTAAACTTTTTTAGTTGTATATGAACACAATATTTATTTTTATGTGGTGCTGAGACTCAAACCCAGTGCCTCACATGTGCTAGGCAAGCGCTCTACCACTGAGCCACAACCCCAGCCCCCTTTAAAAAAATTTTTTTTTAAAATATTCTTTAAGTTGTAGATGGACACAACACATTTATTTGCTCATTTTTATGTGGTGCCGGGGATCACACCTAGTGCCTCACACATGCTAGGCAAGTGCTCTACCACTGAGCCAAAACACCAGCCCCCAGCCCCTTAATAAGTCTCCTTTTTTGATAGTTTAGCACTCAGGTTCAAAATGCTTTAATCTATTTTATTTATTGGTCTTTTCAAAGAGCTAGCTTTTGGATTTATTTGTTCTACAACTTTGTTGTCTACCATCATGTGAGTTTCTGCTTTAACAAGCTTCTGTAGCCTGGAGAGAGACGGGCCAGAGGACTATCCTATTCAGGGTTGTGATGCCCTTGTCTGCTCTGAAAACAAAAGGCTTGTAAACTTGCACCAGCAACATAAGTTATGAACTGCCTTCGCCTCCACACTCCCATTGTTTCATGGTTTTAGGCTTTTACCCTAAACAGGGTCTCTCAAGCCCTGGAATTGAGTCAGGTTAAGGGGCCTCCTATGCAATTTTTTTTGTGTGTGTGTGTGTGTGTGTGATGGTACTGGGGATGGAACCCAGGGCCTCAAGCATGCTAGGCAAGTGTTGCATCATCAAGTTACACCCACAGCCTGCTCTATGCATTTCACAACAGATTCTACAGTCCTCTAAACTTTTGACTGGTTGATTTTCAGGGCCTTGCTAAGTTGTCCAGGCTGGTCTTGAACTTGCGATCCTCCTTTCTCAGCTTCCAAGTAGCTGGAATTATAAGCATGTGCCACTGAACTCCCTGCCTCTTTTTACAGTCAGGAACCTGGAAAACAGAAAATAGATTCTACTGCAAGACACAGTCTGGGAATTAATTCTTGGCCTGCTAAGTGCAGCAGAGAACAATTTGCAGAGAAATATCAGTTCTTTTTTGATCCAGAGCTCTTTTCAGGAGAATATCTGAATCATTAAATTTACTTGTCATTTTATTTCTTCTTTTTTTTTTTAAATAATTTTTTTAAGTGTAGAAAGAGAGAATTTTTGAGAGAGAGAGAGAGAGAGAATTTTTTAATATTTTTTTTTTTAGTTTTCGGGGGACACAACATCTTTGTTTGTATGTGGTGTTGAGGATCGAACCCGGCCGCACGCCTGCCAGGCGAGCATGCTACCGCTTGAGCCACATCCCCAGCCCGTCATTTTACTTCTAAATGTATTAGATAATGACTAGAAAGACCATCAAAAGGTGAAATATAGTGTTACTATGTAACTTTGGGGGAAAGTTTTCTAAAACACCTGCACCATTTTATATTCCCACCAGCAGTATGATGGTTTTAATTTCTCCATGTCCTCCCCAACACTTGTTATTGTCTTTTCTTATTACAATCATATTAGTGAGTGTGAAATGTTATGAAGAGTTTATACAGGACCCAGATTCACCCCCTCCATCACCACCAGGGATGGAACCCAGCCACCACACCCAGCCAGGATCCACTTTTCTGATCATAATCCATTAAATTTACAAATAGGAAGATCTAATAAAGTTAACTATTTGACAAGACATTTCCCTCAAAAGTGCTCTGGGAATAGAGTGAATGACCAGGAGCTGTAGGAAGCAGTCTTCCTGATAAAAGGCTGAGGTGGCTCCTGGTTCCTGTTGGAGGACCGGACTGGTTTGAATAATTCTGCAGGCTAGAGGGAATTGAGACCTGCTACTCAAGCCTAAGCAGGAACTGTGCCTGGCCCATTTACCAACTTGTTTGCTTAGGCCCTTATCAATGGGAGCACAGTGGGGTAGGGAATGTGCTGTCATCCAAGGACTTCCTCACTGGTTTCAGACATCAAGGCAGAACATAATACTGGGCTTGAATTTTAGCTCTTACACCACACCACAGATGCTTCCAGAGTGAGGCAGACCCAGGTCAAATCCCAGCTCGCCAATCATGGGGTCAGCTCTGGCAGTGGAGAGTGTTTCTGGGCCCCAAGTGGGCTTAACCAGAAGCCCCGGAAGTGAAGAGTCTTGGAGGAAGACCTGGGTGGGGAGAAGGAAAGGCTCATGGAGTCACCATGAAGATCAGATGAATCACAGGGGGACCTGGTAGAGAAGCAGCAGCTTGAGTTGGTATGAAAAGGCACAGTCCCTGGAGAGGCAGCTCAGGGAACGGAGCAGATGAGTGGGCACCACTTCAGGCCTGGCCTGGCCTAGTTTCTCATGAGATGATGTAGATTCTACAACCCACTCTGGAGGCTGACAGTGCTGCTGAGTTAGCTAAGGCCAATGCAGTGGATAAACGACTGAAGAAAAGAAGTGAAGACATGAATGGATCACCTGCATGGAGATCAAACCAGGTATACAAAGTGACACACAGGGTGGCACATATGAGCAACTGTGGGCTCTATTGACATACACTAATTACCTTCTGTCCACAGATTTGAAAAGGAAATAATGAGAGTCCACAGTGTTAAATTGTTGGGAACTCTTGGGGATGCAAAGTAAACTGACCCCAAGCAAGTGTGGAACACACTTTCATGTGCCCATCAAGAACTTAAAAATCTGGGGCTGAGATTGCGGCTCAGTGGTGCAGCACTCACCTAGCACAGGCGGGACCCAGGTTCGATCCTCAGCACCACATAAAAATAAAGGCATTGTGTTGTGTCCATCTACACCTAAAAATAAATATTAAAAAAAAAAAGAACTTAAAAATCCCTGGCTGGGGTTGTAGCTCAGTGGTAGAGCGCTTGCCTAACACATGTGAGGTACTGGAATCGATCCTCAGCACCACACAAAAATAAATAAATAAAGGTACTGTGTTCATCTACAACCAAAATAAATAAATAAATAAAAAATCCCAGCCCACTTTTCTAGATTTTTAAATTTAAAAAACTTTTTAAATTTGAGAAGTCAGTATTAAACATTAATCTATTAATGTATGCATGCTATCTTTGACTTAAACTAATACTACAGATAATATAGAAAAATCATATATTTTAGTAAATTATTTAATTTCACCCAGATGAACAATATTCAATAAATGCCTTGTTTTAAAAAGCATTTCTCAGCTAAGTACAATGGTGCATGCCTGGAATCCCAACAGCTCAAGAGACTGAGGCAGGAAGATCATGAGTTCAAAGCCAGCCTCAGCAACTTAGGCCGTAAGCAACTTAGTGAGACCCTGTCTCAAAATAAAACTTAAAAAACAGCTGGGGATGTGGCGCAGTGGTTAAGCGCCCCTGGGTTCAATCCCCAGGACCAAAAATCAAAACCAAAACCAAAACCAAAACCAAAAAAGCATTTCTTGATTCAAAGTCATCTGAAACTGTTCTATATTATATTCTAGATGTTTTAATTTTCTTTCTGTATTCAGATCTTTAACCTATCGGTAATGTCTGTCTGTGATGTGAAATAGGAATTTGTTGAGAGCTGTCCATGGGCTCATTGCAGCCTAGTGAATGGGAACTTCCAGTGGACATTTCCTCTGTGTAAGACTGCCTAGATGCACTGTGAGCCTTATTCCGCTCTGCCTGGTCCCACACAGCACCAGAGATGGGGTGACCTGCTAACCACCCAGCCTCACAACCCCTCTGAGATGGGTGTAACCTGCCAAGATGCAATCAACCTGCTGAATGCAAGACATCAAGAAGCAAGACTCCACCCTTGAAACCTTATCCCTGCCTTTTCTCTACCCCCTTAAATAAGCCACATGAGTCCAGCTCTTGTGTGGACTGGACCTATCAGGGGCTCCAACTTTGAAAAAAATCTTTCTGACTTTGTCTTTTGTTCTTCACTAATTATTCCAGACTTTAATTTCTAAGGAGACTTATCCCTCTGAGCAGGCAAGAATTCCCTGGCAAGGTGCTGGCCAGCCCAAGACAGGAATCTAATTTCATTTCATATAAGTAACCGAGAACTCATTTTCTATTGACAGTGATGAAGAAAAGGAAGAGAATGCACCACAGCCTTAGGAAAGCCCAGATTGTGATCAGAACATGGGATAAATGTTTCTTGAGCCCAAAACTGAACCCAAAGCCCAACTGGTTGACAGTCTGTCCTACTTTGGAAACTGAGTTGAGCTGGGTTTTTTAGACATCTTTAAACATCTCTCATTTTCTGCCACTGTTGCTGTCCCTGTCGAGGATTCAAGGTCTATGGGCTCTTCACAGGTACTGCTTGATGGAGTCATTGTGCTCTTCCCATCAATTCACTTTTGTTAAAATCCTATCTTATTGGGGCAGAGGGGTGGGAGGGAAAGGGAGGGGTCAGGGGATTAGCAAGGATGGTAAAATGTGATGGACAACATTATCCATGAAGACACCGAATTGGGTGTCAACCTATTTTATATATAAACAGAGATATGAAAAATTGGGTATATATGTATAATAAGAATTGTAATGCATTCCACTGTCATTTATTTTTTAAAAAATCAATAAAAAAAATTTAAAAAGAGGGAAAAAAAATCCCAGCCAGGTGGTGGCACATACCTATAATCCCAGCAGCTGGGGAGGCTGAGAGAGTTCAAAGCTAGTCACAGCAACTTAGCAAGGCCCTAAGCAACCAAGTGAGACCCTGCCTCTAAACACAAAAATGGACTGGGGATGTTGCCCAGTAGTTAAGTACCCCTGGGTTTAATCCCTGGTATTCAAAAAAAAAAAAAAAAAAAATTAGAATTCCATGTTCCATCATCTGACCTTGAAATGGGAGACTGAAGCATCCAAGTGGGCCCAAAGTCATCACAAAGGTCCTCCTTATAAGTGGAAGACAGGCAGAAGAGTGGCGGTGATGTAATGTAAAAAGACTTGACTGGCTACTGCTGGCACTGAAAATGAAGGAGGAGGCCGTGAGTCAAGAATTCAGGACACCTCTAGAAGGTGGATTCTCTCCCAGATTCTGCAGGAGGAACTAGCAGCCCTGTTGATAAACTGATTTAGTTCACTGAGACATGTCTCAGAGTTCTGACCTTAAAAACCAACATAGAATAAATGTTAAAAACCAACATAGAATAAATCTACAGTGTTTCATGCCACTGAGTTCATTGGAGCAGTTATTAGGAAACCGATACTGCAAGTCCTGAGTGACTGTCCAGAAAGCCAGACAGCTCTCCCTGGGCAGTGGGGATCCTCTGCCTTTCTGCTGCATGACCAACTAAGGATGTGAGGATGCAGCCCTGGCTTGAAGGCTTGCATGGCCTCAGAGACATCTGTCACCCTTCAGAGGTCACTCTTGTCCATCTATGCTTTGAAAAGAAGTGCCCTGTCTACCCAAACCCAGGCTCAAGAGTTTAAAGGCTGGTGGCCAAGGATGAAAGTAGGCTGGGGGATCTGGGGCTGTGACCGTAGGGTTGGCGATTCTAGGATTTGCCCTGAGCCTCCAGCTGCCAGGCAGATTGCTGATCTGACCAACAGAAGTGAGAAATCAGGGTTCTTATTCAGAAACTTACCTGCTAAAAACATATAATTTATGCTAAGGGTGAAACGTGCACATGGAGGTCCAGGGGTCTCACACAGCAGGACAGACATCAGCTGTGCTTTTCTGAGCTTACTGCCACCTTCCACAGGGACTTCTGTAGGAAGGGGCAGCAAGGCAGTTTTTGAGCAAGAGGTCCCAGGAGGAGGGCGTGTCCTGGGCTTTTATACCTCAGGTAGGGAGGCCTTGGTGATCACCCCACAGTCACCACTCAGCTTGGATTCCCACCCAGGCCTCGTCTAGAAGGCAGGGCAGGAGGAACAGAGCAGCTTTCCCTCACTCCCAGGTGGACTTTTGGGGGCAGGTCCAGAGTTCCTTACTGTCCTCTGAGTTTCCAGTAGGCTGGAGTTGGCCCCCAGGGTGCTCTATCTAGGCCCAGAGGCCCACAGGTGTCCCCCCTCTACCGCCCCCCAGGAGGGCAGCCCTCCTGCTCAAGGGGCCTCAGGCCGGTGGCTCTTCCTGTGGATGACCAACTGGGACTTCCAGTCGAAGCTGCGGCCGCAGTCACTACAAAAGTGGCGCCGCTGGCCAGCATGACTCTTCCGGTGGATGACCAGCTGCGACTTCCAGCTGAAGCTACGCCCACATTCCTCACAGGTATAGCTCCGAGGCCCCACCGGGCGCCGCGGGGGTTGTGCCACTGGCTCCTGGGGTGCCTGTGGTGGCCTCTCGGGACAGGGGCCTCCTGCATGTGAGCGGTGGTGGATGACGAACACGGACTTCCAGTCGAAGCCCCTGCCACACTGCAGGCACACGTAGGGCTTCGGCTGCGCGGGGGAGAACGGGAGTGGCAGTGCTGGTGGCGGGGATGTGCAGACCTGGCTGCGCCCAGGAGTGTCTACCTCAGCCCCGACTTCTGGGTGGTTCAGGCTGTGCTCGCCTGGGCAGCGGCTCTCACCAACCTCGGGTCCGGAGCATGGTGTCCCCAGCTCTGGCTCACGGTCAGGCTCTGACTTGGATTCAGCCCGCTCTTTGGCTGGCGGGGGTGGCAGCCCTGCTGGGGTGGGCAACGAACGATCAGGTGGGAGATCACCCGAGGCCCCGGGTGGGTGCCTTCTGGAATGGGGAAGGCTGTGACTGGGCCCTGGGAGGCCTGTGCGAAACCCCAGGCAAGCAGCCTGAACCCAAGCCCAGGCGGGAAGGGACCGGTGGTCCTCACCCAGCGAGACCACCGTGCCGTACTTCTCCAGCATCGCGTCCCAGTACTGCTCCTTCTGTGATGGGTCCAGCAGCCCCCACGCCTCCTGCAGGATGAGGATGCAGCTCATCACTGTGGTCCCACCCCAGCCTGCTAGGGTGGCATCCTTACCTATTTACCCAAGCTTCATCTATGGGCTAGATAAGGCACAAGCCAAGAAGGGGCTTGTGAATGCTGGGTCCTCCTTCAGATCATCGGCCAGCCTGCCAGTACTCACCTGTCTGAGCTGTCCACCCATTGTTCTGGTCAGAGATTGAAACAGGGTGGGATTCAGGTTAAGCTTTGTAAAGACCATTATGGCTGCCCCCAACCTTTGCCCTTTCAAGTATCTTAACAGGATGCTAAAGGGAGCAAGAGACTCAGGGACTGCTGGGGACTCAGCCACCTGCCAAGCCTCTGACTACAAGAGTCTTCAAAGGCTGGGAGCATTTGAGCACATGGAAATGAGGCTGTGGGGAGGAAGGAGGATCCAGGATCCTGACTGCACCTTGGGATGTGAACAGGGGACGCAGGAGTGGCAGTGGAGAAAGTTCAGAGTGTGGGGGGGCTGGGAATATAGCTCAGTTGATAGAATGCTTGACTCGCAAGTACAAGGCCCTGGGTTTAATCTCCAGCACCACCCCCCCCCAAAAAAAAAAAGAAAGTAAGTTCAGAGAGTGGGTGCCAGTTGGCTCCTGTGTGCTGCTTCTGGCAAGACCCCGAGAGAGGATGAACCTGGCATGTGGCAGAGGCCCCAATGGCTTTACTGGGAAACATACTTCCTGCCTTTGAGTCCTGCCATCTGGGGCTTTGCTGGGTTGGGAAAAATAATCCTGAGAGACAAGCCAAAGCAAGTCTGGGAGCAGGGAGCTGGCCATATATAACCAAGATAGAGATGGTAAAGGCTGGAAGCGATGATCCCATGGAGCCTGCAACCTTTCCACTCAGCCTAAGATTTCTAACCGTGCCGTCAGACTATGGAAGGAACCTGGAATCTCAGCCTCAAAGCACACCTCAACCAACCATTCTGCTGAGAAAGCTCCCACTAGGTGGTATAGTAGCAAAAGAACCAGGAGAAGACAGCCCCCACTCTACACACTTGGGAACGTGGTGCTCAAGACGACAGGAGCTTTGAATTGATTGCCTTTTTTTTTGAATTTTTTTAATATTTATTTTTTAGTTTTCGGTGGACACACATCTTTATTTTATTTTTATGTGGTGCTGAGGATTGAACCCAGCGCCCCGAGCATGCCAGGTGAGCGCGTTACTGCTTGAGCCACCTCCCCAGCCCCCAGCTGACTGCCTTTTGAGAAAAACCCTACAAGAGAAGGGACTTTAGGCATTTCCCAGGAAGAGTGTTTGTTCTGACCCCAGGTGCTGAAGTCCTGCCAGTTTGTCACTGGTTCCTCCCAACCTGCACACACAAGTTTTAAATCTCCAAGTTCTGGCCCTAGACCTCTAGGAGCTGCAAATCTCCCCAGTGACTTCTCTGGAGGTGAAGAAGGCAAGCCCACCAGTTCTGGTCACTTCTGACCAGGTTTCCATGATCTGAGGCTCAAATTTTCCAATAATAGAGGCCAACAGTCTGTTCCTCTACCCCTGGGACTTCTGGGGCACCCGTTACTTACTCCACTTTTGGGCAGTAAAGAGCTTAAGAACCAGGCGCAGTGGTGCACACCTGTAATCCCATCAGCTCAGGAGGCTGAGGCAGGAGGACTGAGTTCAAAGGAAGCCTTAGCAACTTGTGAGACCCTAAGTAACTCAGTGAGACCCTATCTCTAAATAAAATTTAAAAAGAACTGGGGAGGGCTGGGATTGTAGCTCAGTGGCCGAGCGGTTGCCTCGCACGTATGAGGTACTGGGTTTGAACCTCAGCACCACATAAAAATAAATAAATAAAAGTATTGTGTCCATCTACAACTAAAAAAGCCTTTTTTTTAAAGGACTGGGGTTGTGGCTCTGTGGCAAAGCGCCCCTAGGTTCAAACCCTGGTACAAAAAATAAAAGCAAAAAACAAAAAACAAAAACAAAGTACAATAGCATTTGGCCAAGACTGGAAAAACCACAGGGCAGAGGCATGCACCAGGGATGTTTCCCTCCCATACTTGGGACCTGTACTTTCCACTGGGGACTGCTCACCTGAATCCTGGGTGGGTGGAAGGAAGTGGAGGCTGTGTCCTGGTGTCTAAGATGCCCCTTGGGAGACTCAGTTGGAAGCAGTGGACTGGGCGGTGCTGAAAAGTAAGGTAGATGGGAATGGGTGTCAGCAGTTACCCACACAAGCCAGGCTGGAGGAGGATCTGGTGTTACTGCCTAAGTCTTGGTCCACCTCTGCCCTATGTATGTCTTTTGATTCCCAGATCTTCTCCAGGGCTTCCATCCCAGCCAAGGACATCCACCCTCATTTCCAGAGTCTAAGCCCTGGCATAAGAAGTCTCCTGAGGAGCCAGATATTGTGGTATATTCCTATAATCCCAGTGGCTCTGGAGGCCAGGGGAGGAGTGCAAGTTCAAAGTCAGTGCCAGCAATTTAGCGAGGTCCCAATAACTTAGCAAGACCCTATCTCAAAATAAATTTTTTTTAAAAAAGGAAGGGATGTTTAGCTTCTGCGTTGGGGTTTACTCTTTTTTAAAAAGGGATGTGGCACAAAGGTTAAGCACCCATGGGTTCAATCCCCAGTACCAAAAAAAAAAAAAAAAAGCTGCCTAGGACTCCCCTCCAGGGATGTGCACACTCTTTCCACAAGCTCCACAGTCGTGGTGTGGCACTCTCCCTCACCCACATGCTGCCCATCAGCACTGGGCTCCTCCTTCACACTGCAGCTGAGCTGGGTAGACCCTTCCATCCTGGCATTATGTGGACCCTCTCCAGGGGCTGCCCCAGAGAACTCCACTGTTCCTGAGGGGCAGGGGCTTGCTGAGGACTCCTCTGTCTTCTGGGCTGCAGGAAGCACCTCTGGCTTCAGGATGTGGGCTGTGATCTGAGAAAAAGAGGTAAGTCACAGGGGCTCTATGTTTGATCTGTCCTTAGAAGTTAATGACACCACACTTACCCAGCCCAACAGCTGCCCAGGGTCATGCTGTAGCCCTTCAACTAGAGCTACAGCTTCCTCAGGGCTGCCTGGCCGCTGCCCTTGCACCCAGGACTGGATCTCAGGGGGCAGTGTGCCCACAAACTGTTCCAGCACCAACAGCTCTAACATCTGTTCCTTGGAACATGACTCAGGCCGCAGCCATTGGCGACACAGCTCTCTCAGCCGGGTCAGGGCCTCTCTGGGCCCTGCCACCTCTTTGTAGCAGAATCCACGGAATTTCAGTCGTGCAGCCTCAGGCTCCTCAAGGGTGGTCTCAAGATTACTGAGGGACTGGTGTGGGGACCTCAGTGGGGATGGCATTCTTGTTTCAGAGGGTCTTTTGGGAATCACCAAGAGGGACCTACAGAAAAGGAGGGATCAAAGTGTCATTCAAGAGGGCCTGGCTAAGGAGAGACAGATACAAAGCCCAGCCCAGGAGCCAAGGCCAGGACAGAGGAGACCCTGAGACCAAGAGTAGGTAAGGGGTGGGGGCTCCAGGAAAGCTTCATGGAAGGAGAAGGTCACAGGAGCTGAGATCAGGAGGATGCCTTGTGGATAAACGCTTGGAGGGAAGGAGTCCAGGAAGCTGCCAGGAAAGTGGAAAACAGTTCGATCCAATACAGGTAAGACAGGAGCAGTGGTCCACACCTGTTATCCCAGCAACTTGGGAGGCTAAGGCAGGATTGCAAGTTCGAGGCCAGCCTTGGCAATTTAGTGAGATCCTGTCTCAAAACAAACAACAACAACCAAAAACCAAAACAAAAAAACCAACACCTGGGTATAACAGACAGGAAAGTGGCTCCCCCAGCCCAGAAGCGAACGGTCAATCGACCAGCTGGTCCTGGGGGATTGGGAGCCCTGAGTGTGGAAGGTCGGGCTTTGTGTCTGTCCTAATGGTCTCTGGGACTTGCTGCCTGAAGAGCTGGCTCTGGGGACCGGGCCTGTCCTCGCCAGGAGACAGACGAAGCAGGTGCAGTACCAGGTGCACTCCCGAGTGCTGACACGGTTCCGAGACGCGGTGCTTGCTGCAGAGGCCTCGTGCAGGCTGGGCCCATGCGAGTAAACCCCAAAGCAGAAGCTAAACAAACGGAGCTGCGCGTGGCGTGAGACTGCGGGTTCAGCCCTGAAGAGCATCTGGGGGAAACATGCCCACCTGGGGGTCCGTCAGGCCTGTCCTACCCGAGACCCGGGGATTTGGGGGTCTGCGCCCCGGGACGGGACGGGACGGGACGGAGCAGATCTCTCAGGAGTGCCGGGTCCGGGCCCGGGCGCCGAGACGTGTTCTGGGTGGGCGGAAAGCCGGGACCAAGGCGGCGGCGGCACTTCCGCCGCCGGGGAGCAGGACCGGCGCGCGCCCCTCGCGGTGGAAGAAGCCGCGCACGGGCCAGTCAGAAACGCGCTCGCCTCGGCAGCCGCTCGGGCCGGCGGCCACTTCCCGGAAGTGGCGGCGCTCACACCCGCCCGCCCCGCCCGCGCGTGGCCCCGGCGACCCCAGCCCGGCCAATCCCGCGCCGGCCCTTCAGGCACCACCTGCTCCCCGAGGAGCGCATTTTCAAACTCCTCGCGACCGGATGGCATCCCTTCCTCTCCAAGACTCCGCACTGCCGCAGGGTTCAGCGGTAGCGCCCCCCGGCCCGGTCTTCACACCCGAGCGCCAGGCGGACCCACCGCGGACCGGGACTGCCCGTCAAAGCCTTGCGCATGTGCGCAGCGGACCCGAGGCCTATTGGGTAGTGAGAGCGTGCTCTCCCGACCAATCAGAGGAGGCCCTCGGCCTCGGCTCTCCCCACCCCACCACGCGGCCTGCGGGGTGGCACTCCAGCCCCCCCCAGGTACCGGTGGAGCACGGCTGCCCACTTCCAGTTCTCCCCATGGCCACGACCACAGCGTTCCCCCATCCCGAAGAGATCCTAAATGCCGCTCCGTGGCAACCTCCGTGAATTCGCAGGCTTCCACCTCGCTCAGAGTTCTCCTTCGAAGGAGGCACTGGAGACCCTCATTCAACCCGTTAATGCCCTGCGGACTTTGGGGGGCATACATTTACTGAGAAGGTAACTATGTATTACCCTTAGGAGTCTGACAGGCACATGAAGGGTGTCCAAGTTTGTGGGATGTGCTCAACCTTCTGTTTATTTTGCAAAACAGAAGTAGACAGTGGCTGGTTTTTCACAACAGGCAACGTTATTATTATTTAACTGTGGGGTAGGGTTCATTCTGCCTCCACCTAACAAGTAGCTGAACTGTGGCGTACTCACTCAATACTGAACTTTATCTGCAGGTGTTTTGGTTTTTCAGATACCTGCCAACAATTCAGGACAAGAGCAGTAGTCCTAAATGCTGACTGGAACCTTGGAGCAGTGTGTGGGTAGAGCTCATTAACTCTTACCTGTCCAGTGGCTTCATCAGGGTGCTAGTTTTTGAAGGGCTTCGGTATTTTCTCTGGGACTGCAGATTGTCTGGGAACAATTTTCCAATGGGTGGAGAGCTCTTCTCCAGGTACCTTTACAGGAAGACCCTTCTCCCTGGATTGCTGTTCACCAAGCCTCCTGCTGTGCTACAGGGTAAGCCTAGTTGGACTTACCCAAATGCCAATTAAGTATTTGGCTTCTCATCAATGAGTGACAGTTCCCACATCTAGCTTCAGAATGCCATTGCCCTTAACACCCTTCCCCATCCTCACACTTGTGGATTTATCTTTTTCTCTTTCTTTCTTTCAGTGCTGAGGATTGAACCCAGGGCCTCAGGCATGCTCAGGGTGCACTCTGCCACTAAGCTATACCACCAGTCTTCTGGATTTGAGCTACCTGTGATGCCTATGTTTCAGTCGACCTTTGTCCCAGAAAGTTCAGGTACACTTTTACAGTTACAAATTGACTGGGTTAAGAGAGACCAGCCCAACAAGACCACAGGGGTTGGAGAAAGGCAAGGCAGATGGAGGAGGCAGCCCAGGTTGGGGTCCCCAGCCAGTTCTGGGTATCAGAAGAGGTAGATTCAAGGAGGTTGGAGCTGAGGAACAAGAACACAGCCCAAAGGTGAGAAAGAGCTCAAGGAGAGGCTGGTGGGGAGACAGGACACTGGATCCAGCCTAAGGGGTCAGGAGGGCTTAGGACATAAACTGGGTGATCCAGGAAATTCTGCCCAAGGCACAGGAAATATTTCATGAGTGGATACACACTTGTTCAACAGATGCCTTTGGTCCTTAATCTCATGAGTTCCCTAGAAGTACCTCTGTGGCAGGGTGGGGTTTGTCTGTATTTCACAGCTTTGCAGACTGACTTCATACAGGAGGGGTGGACAACAGTCTCAGGAGGCTTCAAGGCAGAAGATGGGTATGGCCCAAGTGGTTGATAAGCAGGACAGCTGGGTCTTACGTTCTTTGAGTATAGGAGAGGACTGCAGGGTCTTAAGGTGATGGGGCTGGTGTACCTACTGGGCTGGAGTCAACCTTGCTAGGATACCACATACGGCTGCCCCAGCTGTGCCTTAGCAGGAGTACATATTCTGTCCCAGTTTCTCCCCCCCCCCCCCCCCCATTGACTGGATCCCCAAAGGCTCATCTCCCAGGAGAGCTGCTGCTCAGGGGAAGGCAGCAGCTTCCACCCAGATCTCCTTGCTTCCTCCACCAACCTGCAACCACCAATGGGACACAGGTGTCCCAGTCCCACACTGGGCTGCAGACAAGCCGCATATTCACCCTGTACTTTCTCTAGGGGACTCAGGTTGAAACTCTGGGACGAAGACACCCTGATGACACATCTGTGTTATGTGTGTTTAATACTGTCTGCATTGCATTAGAGTGAAACAAGCACCAGGCTATTATTGTTCACAATGTTTAAAAAGAAACCTTTACTAGGGAGACATCTGAACACCCCTGGAGCCAAGAGAAGAGGCTGAGGCCATGGACTTCCACATGCCTGTACACAAAATTATAACTTACATCCATTTCAAGTTGTAAATGCTATCGTTTTGGGTCCCCCCCCCCCTTTCTCCTCTGGGTTAAAAAGACCGCTGCCTACCCTGGCAGTGAAGCCCCAGATCAGGAGAGGGCCTGGTCTGCTTAACCATATAGGAATCAAATGGCCCCACTCCATCCATCTGTCCTCAGCATTAAGGGGCATTATACTGGGGAAGTGGCTTCAGAAGAAGGCTGAACATTACATAGGCTTAAGTAATGACAAGGCCTTCTTGTTCAGCTGTTTGTCCACTTTCCAACCAAGGTAGAACAGGTCATGTAGCCACCAAACCCAACAAAAATGAGCAACCCTGTCTTGTTTCCTCTGCAGTTCTCATCAGTGCTTTGGATGTAAAGATTCCTCATTTAAAAAAAAAAAAAATCCTCATAACATTGACTTTGGTAACAGGAGCTCGTGACAGAACGAAGATGGGAATGTGAATGAGTGCTGCTGGGAAGCCAGTTTCCAATGCTGACAGCCACATCCCCTCCCTCAGGGCTGCACTGCCTGTGAGTCAGCTGTGTGGCCAGGTCAGACCCTCAGGCCTGGCTGACTACGTTGAGGCCTGGGAGCTGAGGTATGTGAAACTGAGCCAATCCCCCGGCTTCTAGTATCAGCTCTGTCCTGGGCAACTCGCTTTTCCTCTCTGTGTCTCAATTTACTCATCTTTAAAGTGAGCAAACTAGCACAGGGTTCATAGGGCTGACAAGAGGAATTTCCCCACAGGTACCCACCTGAAGAGCACCCTCTATGGGATGGGCCCAAATTTTTTCCTCTTTTTCCCAGAGAAGGTAGTTGAGGCTGAGAGCCCAACCACTTGCCCAAGTCCTACATCCTGACTGTCATTCCTCTGTAGCCTCCTATTTGCTGGGTCAGATCCAAAGCAGCTCTGGATGAACTGAGGCCTGGGCACGGGGGGTGGGAGAGGGAGGTGTCGCCAGCTGCCAGTTTCTGTGAAGACTTCTTCAGGCCTGCACTTCTCCCCTCACCGTAGCGTTAGTCATGAGACAGTGAAAAGGCATCACCAGGCAGGAATGCCTTTTTTGGCACCAGGTCCTTCCTCCTGGTATCTCTGCATACGACCTCGTTGAGGACACAGGTGTATCCCAAAGCTGAACTGGCAAATCTTGTCACTGTGTACAAATGGAAGCACGCCAAAGAATCTTCCTTGTGCCTGGTTAGCACGCATAGGGCTTCTCCCCCTTGTGGACCTGCAGTGGACACAGGCCTTTAGCTGTGAAAGGGATTCACAGAAGGTTGGGGAAGGGTAGAGGTGTGCCCTTAGGACTCGGCAGACGTTAGGGCCGTGGGTGAACCTGAGGAAGGAGAGGCTTTGGCTTCCTTCCCATGTACACCTTCTGACGAGCTCTCCGAAGGAGACCTGGCCTGGGCACGCATCCCGGCCCTGGGTCGCCTCAAGGCCTTCTCACCAGTATGGATCCTCTGGTGGTGGAAGAGGGCTGGGCGCTCGCGGAAAGCGCGGCCGCATTGTGTGCACACAAAGGGCTTCTCTCCTGTGTGGATGCGCCGGTGGCTAAGCAGCACTGCTCCCTTGGCAAAGGCCTTGCCACAGTCCCCACAACGGAAGGGCCGCTCACCTGTGTGGAGCAGCTGATGCTGTGTGAGATTGGAGCTATGGCTGAAGGCACGGCCACACTGCGCGCAGGCGAAAGGTTTCTCACCCGTGTGCACCCTCTGGTGCTTAAAGAGTGAAGAGCCCTGGCTGAAGGCGGCACCACAGAGTGCACAGGCGTAGGGCTTCTCACCCGTGTGTGTGCGCTCATGCTGGATCAGGTGCGAGTTGCGGCAGAAGCGGCGGCCACACTGGGCACAGGCGTAGGGCCTCCCGCCTGCGTGGATCTTGCGATGCTGGCTGAGGTTGGAGCCGTGGCTGAAGGCCTTGCCACACTCGCTGCAGCGGAAGGACTTCTCTGCTGTGTGGATACGTTGGTGCCGCACCAGTGAGGAGCTGTGCCGAAAGGCTTTGCCGCAGGCCGGGCATGCGTAAGGCGTCTCGCCACTGTGGATGCGCTGGTGCTGTGTCAAGTGTGAGGTCTGGCTGAAGGCCTTGCCACACTGTGCACACTCGTAAGGACGCTCACCAGTGTGGGTGCGCAGGTGCTTGAGGAGGTCTGAGCTCTTCACAAACACTTTGCTGCATGCCCTGCATTCAAAGGGCTTCTCCCCAGGGAGCAGACCGGGAGCAGCATGGAGGGCCTCGCCCAGCTCTTTCCAGGTTGGGGCCTCTTGGGTACCCATGAGTCTCTGAGGCTCATGCCAGTTTGTGTCCATTCCCCGTTCTCCCCCACTGCAGATGGTTCTGAGGTCTGGATCGCTTGGGAAGGCTCTGGGGTGAGCTGGCTGCACATGTGGCTTCTGCAGCTCCGCCATCTGTGGCAACTTCCCTGGAGCGGGGCAGTCTGTAAGGACTTTCTCTCTAGACTGGCCACTCTCAGAAGCCCTCAGTGGGGAGGTCAGTCGCAGGCTGATGCTGGCTTTACCACTGCCTGAGCCTAGCAGGAGCCTCTCCCAGTAGATCACTGACACACCTGAAGGTTTTCTCTCTCCAGATGAGAAGGCACCCCGTTTTCCCACCAGGCTTGGACTAGTAGGTGTCTCAGGGGAGCTATGCAGGAAGGCCCCTGGCAGTGTCGGTTCTCCAGAAACATCTCTGTCCTCTGCCAGACAGCAGGAACCTGAGGGTAGAGGAATGATGGCTGCCTGGGGCATCTAGCCAGGATGTGACCAGAGCAGGCTGCTGGGCAGGCAGGGGGAACCCAGGGGATGGACGAAAAAGCCTAGGGAGAAAAGCGGAAGCCTACGCGGGCCCTGCAGGAAGCCGGTGGAAGGAGCATCTGCCCTGACAGGTATGGCATCCACTGTATCTGCACCCCCAGGGTCAAGAGGAAAGGCCCAGACAACCAGATGTGGGAGTATAGAGAACTCAGCATCTACTACATACCACCTGAGCCTCTGCTGGCTATCCCACCACAGATGCCTCCCCACAGTTCATTCCCCAGCCTGTTTTTTCTCCTTGCTCTGATTTGTTTCTGAAGCTACAGACAATTTGTGAACAGTTTACTGACTGCCTCTCCCCTGCATTAGCCCCAAAGAGCAGGACAAGGAGTATCCTCGGCAAGGTTGTGTTCCCAGGACCTGGAACAGGTCTGGCCAGAGCAGGAACTCAAGCAACATCTGGACACATGAATGAAGGGAGGAAGGAATACCCAACAGATGTAACAGCTAGATGGGGAGGTCTGAAGCTGTACCACCCAGTTGGAGGAAGGACTCTGAACAGGTCTCACCACAGTCAGGTGACTTCCTGTGTGAAAAGAGATCCTATGTTTTTAGACCCAGGCCATAGCCTCCAAGACAGGATGATGAAAGAAGGGAGAAGAGGCAGATGGGCAGCCAGAGGAGACAGTCTGTCTACAGGAGGGGAGTCAGAGGCTGGGCCACCGGTTGGTCCCAAGTTCACCCCTACCTTGAGCCCCAACTCACCAAGGCTGGACTTTCTGTGGGCATTCCTGCCCAGGGCTGTATCTGTCCCACTGGGAACCCAAGGCTCCTCACCATGCTCCAGCTGGATGACCACACGAGGTCGGGAGGCAGAGAGTCCTACGAACAAGGTGGTTCAAGTGAGAGGCCACGTCAAGTCAGGAAAACCCATCCCACAGAAGATGGCAGGAGTCAGGGCTTCCTGGAAATAGACGATATTATCTGTGCCATCAGGAAAACCTGGGGTCACAACAGGGCAGGGCCTCAGTGGGACAGCTCAAGGATCCCTGCAAGCAGCATATGTTCTGGGGCACCACAGGAAGAGGACTGAGCCCAGGCACAGGAGATTCAGTCAGATGGGGCCACAGGGTAAGATGGAGCAGCCTGCACATCTCCAGATCCTGACCCTTGCCTCATGTGGCGTCTAGCCAGAAGGTCCTGCTCTTGGGTGGGTGGGAAGGTGAGATGATAGTCCTGATGACCCAGCCAGGTACCAACTTGGCTTCCCATGGAGGACCCAGGGCCTTACCCAGTGAGGCCACAAGTGCGAAGTTCCCCAGCATCACGTGGCGGTACAGAGCCCTCTGGGCTGTATCCAGTAGCATCCACTCTTCCCGAGAGAAATACACAGCTATGTCCTCAAAGGCAATCAGGCCCTACAACAGCAAGCAGTCTAAGGTATGGCTGTGACTCAGAACTCAGATCCTGTCCCCATGGTCACCATCCTTGGCACTTTCTGAACATTCACGATCTTCCTGGGGTTCTATTCCAGCGCTATCTTCAAGTGGCACTTCCTCCACCCATCTGGGCCCCCTTCCTTCCACCTTTCCTGTTCAGGCCACAGAAGCGCTCTCAGCCTCTCCCCTGGCTAGTTTACAGAAGCAAGTGAGAGCCATCCTCATGGTTCTTGGCTGGCATCCACTCGACCCAGCAAGACCACTCATGACCCTACCCAAATGTGCCCTTCCTATGCTGGCACAGCAACTGTGTAAGTCCCAGCTGTGGACACTCCAGGGTGTGCCCACTCTAGGATCCTCCCTGCTGTGCCCCTGACACTTCCAGGCTAGTCCCTGAAATCAGTTGCCACAGGAGGGTGGTCCAAAGGGCCTGGTGGACACATAGGAAGTCAATACCCTACTGCCCCCTAGTATTGTCCCCTCTATTTCTTCATTCTTTTTCCACCTTCCCCTCCCTCAGCCACCTGCCAGACTCTTGCCCTGACAACTGCAGTTATTCCCAACCATTTTCCTCTCTCTAGGAAACTGAAACTGACCATCCTCCACTGAGTCTGTGAGATCACCCCCTCCTCAGCCCAATTCCCAAACTCTGCTTTGGCTCAGGACACCTACAATGTCAACTTCACTCTCAGACATGGCAAACTCCTGATCTTTCCGTGGTGGTGGTGGGGGGAACCTGTTTTCAATTACCGTTTGAGTGCCTTTCAGGCACTTAGGCTTCTGAAAAGCTTCCGACTGTGCTTCACTCACAACACTTGCTCGTACCCCACACACCTGATACAAACGCAGCTCCACGCGTAATTGAAACTTTTCCCCTACGAGCTTCCCCATCCAGTCCAGGAGCCATCCTTTGCTCACCTGGGCTGTGGTGGGAACCTTCACCCTTCATACGGACACACCTCTCCACATCTGTTCTCCGCTCAGTAAGAGGTGAGAGGCTTTCAAAATCCTAACTGGGAGGACGTCCGGTCTCTCTTCAAAACATCCTATGGCTCCCACGCCCTGGGGATAAAGTCCCAACTCCTCTACCTGCCATTTCAGTCTTCCACATCGAGGACGCTGTGCCCAGAACCAAGGTGTCTCCGCTCCCAGCCTTTGCACGTGGGGGACCTTCCCGCTGGAATTTCTTCCAAATCCCACACCTGCACGCCTCACTGACCTGGACCTCCGGGTTTGGAGGGTACCGGTTCCCACCCGAGCAGCCAGAGGGCACAAGTCGTCTAGGGAAAGTCCTTCCCTCCATGAGGCTCGGGGTCCTCGGAAGGGGTCTCCCTACTCACCGGCGCCGGGTCTGCCAGCCCCCCTGCCGCCGCCATCGGAGTCTGCAGCCGAGAAGGGGCAGAAAGGGTGCACGACAAGGCCCCGCCAACTGCCCGCCGCCTCGCGCAGCCTGCCCGGGCCCCGGTCTCGCGGTCGGCCCAGGGCAGGTGGCGCCCGGGAAGCCGCCGCAGCGCTGCGGCGAGGGCCGAGGAGCGCGGAGCTCCGGCACCGCCCACGCGCTCCGGGAAACCGAGGCTGGGGAGTCGGGCAGCGGCAGCGGCGGTGCGCAGGCGGCACCAGGCAGGTCTTCCTCCAGGACCTTCCTCGCTTTCTCGTCTCGGGACCCAGAGGCTCCGGGACAGCCGGCCCAGCCTCTGGTGCACCACCCGGAGAGCCGCAGTGGCCTGACGCCAGGCAGCCGGGTGACAGTCCCGAGCGCCGGAAGTCGGGCCCCGGCCCCCAGGGGCAGGCGCACGTGGCGGACGCACGCGCAGAGCCCTCTGGGTGCTGTAGTTCCCACGGCCTTGCCGCGCGCTGGAGCCGCGGGTCTGTTCTCCATGGCAACGGCGAGCGTCGACGCGAGGCCTGCAGTTGCAGCTGCGAGTCCTTCAACTGAACCCAGCCGGCCCTAAGCGCAGGTTGGGCTGCTGGCTGGGCCACCTGGGCCGAGGATCCCCGGGTCCCAGAGCGCAGCTCAGCAGCCCCGGAGACTAAGCCTTGAAGATGCCAAAGTGGCAAGTTCCGAGGGTCCACGGGGCGCCACCAGCCAGGGGCGCACAGGAGAGACTGTAACGCGGAGGGTGCCTAGAGTTCAGAGTTCAAATGTGACCATTTCCTGACCATTTCCTGCTGTGCGCCCTGAGGAGGGGTTTGGACTTCTTTGTGCGTGACTGTGTTGTAAAGAGTCGTATCAGTTTCGCAACCTCTACACCAAGAATTGCAGGTCCCTAGCCTAAATCTTTCTTGATTCTGGAATTGTTTCTAGGCGCTTGCCCAAACCATCCATTTTCCTTGTAGACTTGGATTTCAAAAGTACTCTCCCAGTCTTACTTGTCCGTTAGGCCCTCTAGTTCTTGCCTTACCCCACACATCACAATGTTGATTTCCTTTTCTCTCAGACCAATTCAAGTGCAACACTGAACACCAAGGCAGGATGCTCTCAATGCACACTGACACTGTTTCTGGCACAGAATAAAAAGAGCCCCACAAGGGGGTCAGGGTTGCAGCTCAGTGGTACAGTGCTTGCCTCGCCCGTGTGAGGCACTGGGTTTGATCCTCAGCACCACATAAAAATGAATGAATGAATGAATGAATTAAACGAAGGTTGAAAAAAAGAATGCTTAAAAAAGAGAGCTCTACAGTCTGGGCATGATGGCTCATGGTGGCTCATGCCTATAATCCCAATGACTCAGAAGGCTGAGGCAAAGGAACCTAAATTTCAAGGCCAGCCTTGGAAACTTGGTGAGACCCTGTCTTAGCTGTAGCTCAGTGGTAAACCGCCCATGGGGGTTCAATCTTCAATACCAGAAAACAACAAAAACAGAGTAGTTGCAAGCCCTGGCACCATGCTGAAGGATTCTATGTCCTTTATCTGTCACTGAGGGAAACCCTGCCATTACCACACCCATTTTAACACTGGAGAACATGAGCCACGTGTTCCAGAGTACTGAGCTGACCATTGGCTGGGGTGAAATGTAAACCTACTCATATATGCCTTTAACCACTTCACCATCTCAGGACTTACTTTCAGTTCAGCTTTAAATAAAAGAAATGGTTGTGTGCAAACTGCACTGTCGGGGAGTTAATAAGCTCTCAGTATCAGCTATTGCTTCACTACTGTTCAAGATAGGTTTGATTGAAGCATGAGTAGGGCTTCTTGTGTCACTGGCAGGGGAAGGCGTTCCCAGGGCAGTGCACCCGCAAGGTCTTGGTGGGTGGACAGCCTAGGTTTTTTTTTTTTTTTTTTTTTTTGGACACAACATCTTTATTTGTATGTGGTGCTGAGGATTGAACCCTGGCCGCACGCCTGCCAGGCGAGCGCGCTACAGCTTGAGCCACATCCCCAGCCTACATTTTAAATTTATAAGGTAACATATTTGGTTTTGTTAAATGTGTTTTTATACATTGGTAAATTTTAAAAAATGGTAATATTCCTTGCTTCTGGGTCTTAATCTAAAAGTAAGGTTATTATGAGTTATTACACCTGCTAATTCTTTCTTTAATGATTTTTTTTAGTTGAACATGGACATAATACTTTTATTTTATTTTTATGTGGTACTGAGGATTAAACCCAGTGCCTCACATGTGCCAGGCAAACACTCCACTACTGAGCCCCAGCCCCAGCCCTATGCCTGTTCAGGTGTAATTCTATATGCATACAAAAAGCTTCAGCTGTATTTTGATTAAAGTACTGTGAAGAATGAAGTATTTCATCTTATTATAAAGGTATGCCAGGCACAGTGGAAGACGCCTGTAATCCTAGTGGCTTGGTAGGAGGATCTCAAGTTCAAAGCCAGCCTCAGCAACTTAGGAAGGCACTAAGCAATTTAGTGAGACCCTGTCTCTAAATACAATATTTTTAAAAGGGCTAAACTGAGACCCTGTCTCTAAATACAATATTTTTGAAAAAGCTAAAGTGGTTTGGGAGGCTGAGGCAGGAGGATCTCAAGATCAAAGCCAGCCTCAGCAAAATTGAAGTGCTAAGCAACTCAATGAGACCCTGTCTCTAAATAAAACACAAAAAAAGGGGGCTGAGGGTGTGACTCAGTGGTAGAGTGCTCACCTCTTTATACGTAATTGAGTTGATAAATCTGTGAGTCTTTGTGGATGTAAAATAGACCACAAAGACATTTTAGTGTTATTATAGAAATTACATTTCTTGGTTCAAAGTTATTATACAAACTATTTTTTTGGTCCTATTCATTTCATTTTGTATTTTCCTTACAGAATTTTATAAGTGTTGCCTTTATTTGTAGGTGGTGCTGAGGATCAAACCCAGCGCCTCACACGTGCTAGGCGAGCACTTTACTGCTGAGCCACAACCTCAGCCCCAATCTGTTGGATGTTTAAAACCAAAACTTAGAAACCAAAGCTAAGGAACTAAAAGCCAAGGAAAAAGCAGCCAATATTTGGCTCTTGCCCTGACTTTAGAGTCAGCCAGGATCCAGGGAATGAGGGACTCCTTCTAAGGGCACTGTTTCAGTGTCACCTGAGATCCTGATCAAGGTCGAGAGAACAGGAAGCCAACCAGTGCACATTTTGCGAAGAATAGGGTTACCGGAGAGGGAAATGTGCCTGATGCTTCCAAGGGAAATCACATGTGGTCTGCAAGACCCCAACTCAATTTGGCAGATGTTACAATTAGTAGAGGAAAAACTAAAGGAGCCAAGAAACTTCTCACAAGTTCCCAAGAATGAACCCTAACAAAACTCAGCTGACTCTTAACAGTTGGTAGGAAAAAAATCAATTTCGACCAACTTGGTCTTAAACATTTGGCAGGAGAATATAACCAAAACATAGCCATACATGGACTTTTTTGTTGTTTTTGTACTAGGGACTGAGCCAAAGAGTACATAATAATTGAGTCACACTACCAGTCCTCTTTTATTTTATTTTATTATTTTTTTAGTTGTAGTTGGACACAATATCTTTACTTTATTTATTTATTTTTATGTGATGCTGGGGATTGAACCCAGCACCTCACACGTGCTAGGTGAGCACTCTACCGCTGAGCCCCAGCCCCAGCCCCAGCCCCATTTTATTTTTTATTTTGAGAAAGGATCTTACTAAATTTTTTAGGGCCTTGATAAACTGCTTAGGTTGACTTTGAACTTTCAATCCTCCTGCCTCGGCCTCCCAAGTTGGTGGGATTACAGAAATACACCACTGCGCCAGTCATACATGGACATTTAAAATAAGACGATGGTTCCATTACTGTTACCTCAGATGCATATTTGTATCAGTCCTCCTGAAATTAAGTAAAACTGTGAGGTTATAAAGGGAGGATTTTTATACAGGAGTGCCTGATAAAATATCACAAAAATCTCCGAGTCACAAGTTTTTTCTAAGTCAATTTGCGACCTACAAATCTTTCTAACTCTTCCCTAGGCAGACTTGACCTGTGTCTCTGTTTTGGTTTTTGTTTTTCGCTAGCTCAATTATTATGAGCTGCCTTCAGACTCTGCTTTTGGAGTTCTCAGTTCATCACTTCAAGCTTGGCAACTTGATTTCAATCAAGACCTGAAAAGAAGACAAGCTTTGGGGCTGGGGTTGTGGCTCAGTGGTAGAGCGCTCGCTTAGCATGCACAAGGCACCGGGTTTGATCCTCAGCACCACATAAATGTAAAATAAAGATATTGTCTCCACCTAAAGCTTAAGAATAAATATCAAAAAAAAAAAAAGAAGAGAAGCTGAAAAGGACTAAGCTTACCAAGTGCTCCTCATCACCAGGCTAGCTATCTAAACTGCTAAAGAGGAGAGAATCCATGACTGTGGGCAGTTTCCACCTCAAAAAGTAAACATATCTAGATGGATGGCAATACCAAAAGGTACAAGAACAAAAATGAAAATGAGACCAAAAGGTATAAAAAGAAAAAAAAAAAAAGGAGACTTGTGAAAAATAGAAAGTTTGGGGGTCCATTTTTCAGAATATAGTATTTAGCCTTAATTGGGTTATAATATCCAATTATAGCCACGTTTAATTACAGCCCTTCCCTCTGCTTGCCTCAATTTAATAAAAATCAGCCCATCGTAGATTGTAACTCCAAGCTCCTTCTATCAGAGCCAGGGGCAGTGCTGACTGGCCGCACACCCCGCTGTGGGAGTGAAGTTGGCCTTACTGAGCTGCTTCCAAGCACGCTTGATCCATTCTGGCCTCCCGGTGTTTCTGACAACCAGTGTGGAGCCTCTGTGGTACTGTGGTACTGTGGCCGAGCTGGGTCTCCCTGCATCGCTCAAGGTGTACGGAGTAGCGGGAGGAAAGAAAGAAAAGGGGGGAAAATGAAATTAAAAGTATCTCTTGGGAGGGTTAGGCCCTTCTCTCTGTCAGAATCATAGTGGTCTAACCTCTTCTGTGTCTGGTTTATTCCACTCACCATTTTGTCTATATCCAGGTGCTTACTGTTGAGTGATTCCATGGTATGGATGCAGCACAGTTGATTTTTCCATCCTCCTGTTGCACAATGGGTTATGATCAGATATTAGCCATTAAATGAAATCCCTGTGAACATTTGTGTAAAAGTTAGGCTTAAAATTAGGTTTTTAATTTTCTTAGGTAAAAGCTAGAAGTAAAACTGTTGTATCCTAAGTTGTCTTGCTTTATATTTCCACCAGCAATGCATGTGTTACTAGGGTTCCACATTCTCATCAACATTTAACATTCAAAAATTTGGTGTTTTTTTTCTTGTTTGTTTTTTTGTTTTGGTACTGGGTGCTGAATCCAGGAGTGCTCTACCACTAAGCCATACCCTTAGA